GTGGCGGGCGGAAGGGTGAGGAGGACAAGTCCTGGGGAGACGCATGCTTTCGGTCCCCAAATATCCAGCTCCCACTCCGCGCTAGGCACGTGCGAGCGAGGTGCTGGGCTGGAGCCGTTAACCAGACAGAACCAGGCCGAGCGTCGGGGAGCGGACATCGGAGGGCGTTCTGCCTCTCTGGAGAGGCCACCTGTGGGGGGAGCCCTGAAGGGGCAGAGTGAACGTGGGGCCCTCAGAGGGAACGGTGCTGTAAGGGAGCAGCAGCAGGGGTCTGCGTGGGCAGGCGTTAGGCAGGTGGAGAAAGAAGGAAGGCCAGGGCCCTAGCCCGTCTGGCTCAGAGGATAGAGCATCGGCCTGTGGACTGAAAGGTCCCAGGTTCAGTTCCGGGCAAGGGCACAATGCTGGATGGCAAACTTGATTCCCAGTTGGGGAGGGGAGGCGAGGGGGGAAGGCCTGCAGGAGGCAGCGACCAATGATCCTCTCTCATTATTGATGTTTCTCTCTCTCCCTTTCCCCTCCCCTCCTCTCTGAAATCAATAAAAATAAAGAAGAAAGACCAGGTGTGCTGAGCAGGGGGAGACAGGGTGGGGTGGGCGGGGGCCAGGGGAGAGCAGAGCAGAGCGGCCCTGGCAGGGGCGGAGACGGCACCCCTTTTCTCCCCTAAGGCCCAGCAACAGGACTGTTCACATGCCCCCCCGACCCGTGGCTCCTCTGCCCAGATGGGTGTCTGATCTCTTAGCCACCCGCCCTGGGTGAGGCCTGCAGTGTTTCAGATGGGGGTTCCTGGTGGGAATTTGCAGGGGGGGGGGAGCGGGGAGCGGGGGGGGGGGCAGGGGGGAGGCGGACAGGGAACCCCTCTTGGATCTGATAGAAATCACACTCTCCCCGGTCCTGGTGAGAATCCTGCCCACGGGGGCGGGGGTGGGGGTGGGGGTGGGGGGTGAGGGAGACACCGGGGAGCCGGGTGTCCAGGCAGGGGTGTCCCCGAGCCCTGATAAGATCCCCTCCCTCCGGGCGGGAGGCCCAGCCGGGCAGGCAGCTCTCCTGCCCTGTCATTGGCTGCCAACCGCAGGAGCAGCGTTTGTTCTGGAGCCAAAGCCTCCGGGCAGAACCAGGTGCTCAGAGGGGGTGCTCAGGGAGGCTGCCCCATGGGGCAGGTGGGAGGGGAGCCCCGGCCCTCCCTCTGCCCGGCACCACAGAGGCCCCCTGCAGCTGGGATGGGACACACGGGGCCCTGGTCCCCCCTGCAGTGGTGAGGGGGCTGCTGGTCACCCTGCCTCACTGCTCTGGGTGCTCAGAGGCCCACAACCCATCGCTGCTGCAGGCCGTGAGGCGGAGCCGGTGGGGGGGCTCCGGAGACCAAGGGACGTGGCCCCAGACGGCAGTTCCTGGCCTCCACAGTCAGGCTGGCCAATTCTTTCTTTCTTTCTTTCTTTTTAAAATATATTTTATTGATTTTTTTTTTTTTTTTTTTTTTTTTTTTTTTTTTTTTTTTTTTTTTTACAGAGAGGAAGAGAGAGGGATAGAGAGTTAGAAACATGGATGAGAGCCAGACATCCATCAGCTGCCTCTTGCACACCCCCTACTGGGGATGTGCCCTTGACCGGAATCGAACCCTGGACCTTTCAGTCCGCAGGCCGACGCTCTATCCACTGAGCCAAACCGGTTTCGGCTGTGGCCATTTCTTTAGCTTAACGCAGTGCCTTCCCTCTGGGGCCCGGCTGGTTCCAAACCCCCACTGGCCCACCGCATCCCATTGCCTGCCAAACTGTGGTCCGCCCGTTGCCTCTTCCCCCTCCCTCCCTCCCTCCCTCCCTCCCTCCCTCCCTCCCTCCCTCCCTCCCTCCCTCCCCGGTCCCCGTGGCTGTGCTTGCCCCTGCCCTTTGCCCCCCAGGCTCTTCTGCTGGGGTATTTCCGTGGGTCTGTCCTGGGGTCCGGAGGGGGCCCACGGACAGACGGCAGCCGGTCGCTGCGGGGATGCCGCCGGGCAGGGAGCTGGGGGGCGGGAAGGAGAGGCCCGCCGGGCCCGGGGGTCACGGCTGGGCTGCGGTGGCTCTGCAGCGTGGGCTGGGCGGCCGCTCTGGAAGTGAAAACAGCCCTGATTTCCGGGGCAGCGGCTCTGGCTCCACCGTGGGCAGGCCGGTGCCTCGTGGGTTTCTCTTCTCATTTAAAGCAGGTGGGTTGGCCCCAGCGGGTTCGGCTCAGTGGATAGAGCACCGGCCCGCAGACCGAAGGGTCCCGGGTTCAGTTCCGGTCAAGGGCATGTATCTCAGCTGTGGCCTTGATTCCAGCCCTGGTTGGGAGGCAACCCACTGATGTGTCTCTCTCACATCGCTGCTTCTCTCTCTGTCTCCATTCCACTCTCTAAAAATATAATAAACGGGAGCCCTAACCGGTGTGGCTCAGTGGATAGAGCATCGGCCTGCAGACTAGAGGGTCCCGGGTTTGATTCCAGTCAAGAGCATGTACCTTGGTTGCGGACACATCCCTGGTAGGGGGTGTGCAAGAGGCAATTGAATTGCAATTGAATTGATGTTTCTAGCTCTCTATCCCTCTCCTTTCCTCTCTATAAAAAATCAATAATATATATATATATATTTTAAATATATTTTATTGAGTTTCCACAGAGAGGAAGGGAGAGGGATAGAGAGCTAGAAACGTCGATGAGAGAGAAACATTGACCCGCTGCCTCCTGCACACCCCCTACCGAGGATGTGCCCACAACCAAGGTACATGCCCTTGACCGGAATCCAACCTGGGACCCTTCAGTCCGCAGACCGACGCTCTATCCACTGAGCCAAACCGGTTTGGCAATAAAATACATTTTTTAAAAAAAATCAATGGGAAAATATCCTCATGTGAGGATTAGCAACAACAAAAATAGGTGATTTATCCTCACTTTTTACTAATGGGGAAACTGAGGCCGGGGGCCGCCTGCTGCCATCTTGGAGGGGACTCTGTGGAGCTGGTCCTTGCTGGCGGGAGGGCTGGTCCTTGCTGGCAAGGCAGCCCCAGGAGCAGGCAGCGGAGACGCATTTCTGACCGACAGAGCTGGGTGTGGCAGGGCTGAGGGGGTCAGTGCCAGGGAAGGGGTCCCAGACCAGACTCTGCAGGAGGAAAGCAGACTCCTTAGGCATCCCATTTGGGAGGGTGTTGGATGCCAGTCCGGGCGAGAGGCAGTGAGCTGGCAGGGAGGCGCTAGGTGGGCTGAAGAGGCTGCCAGTGTGGGGGTCAGAGGGTAAGACCGGGAGCCTCACCCGCGTTGCCCGCCTTGTCTGCGTGTGCCCTGCGGGGCAGCCCCATCTGTCCCCTCGTTAGGGGCTTCACGGACAGGCTTCCCGGAGATTCATTAACGCCAGGCTGCCGGCAGACCCATGCCCGCCCCCGGCTCTGTCCTGGCAGCTCCGAGGCCCAGCGGACCCCAGGAATGCTCCTCCTTCCCGCCCGGCAGTCCTGGCACATGGGGGGCCGTGCTGCTGGCACAGCCCTGGATGGCAGGGAGGGCTCAGGCGGTGGCAAGCAGCCAGAGATGGTCGCGGGACATTCCCTCCTGGGCCTGGCCCCGTCTCCCACCCCGAAGCTTCTCGTCTGTCCCTGGCTGTGCCCCGGGCTCGCTGTGTGACCACAGCCGGGCTGCTCAGCCTCTCGGAGCGGCTTTATTTTCCCGCCTGTAAGATGCACGGGGTCGGTGCTGAGTCTTCGTTCTCTGAATTATCTGATTCTGAGTGGCCCCTGCTGGCACTCCCATTGCCCGCCCCAGAGGGACTCCCCTTGGCAGTGTCCACTGCCCCAGGCCCAAGGGACGGCCCGTGCTCAGGGCCTAGGGGCCCTGCGTGGCCTGGCCAGACCCTGAGCGTCCGTCCCAGCAGCTCTGGAAGTGAAAACAGCCCTGATTCCCAGTGGCCACCTCCAGCAGGCCCAGCACATTCCTCAGGCTTATCTGGGGGCCCCGCCCCGCCGGACTCTGCCCTCCCACCAGAGGGACTGCTGAGGAGTCCCAGGGCGGGCTGGGCCCTGTGTGCTGGGAGCACCAGGTAGAGGAGGGGTGGGGTCTGCCCAGACAGGCCAGGCAAATGGTTCTTAACCTCAGGAGATGTGGGGTCTGCTCAAACCCCAGACTCTGTGCCATCTTCTGGAGAACCCGGATGCCCACCTCTGGAAAGGTGCCCATGGGCCTCCAACAGGAGCCTGGGAGGGACAGTAGTTACGGGCTGCCTCCTCCTCCTCCCTCTCCCCCTCTCCCTCCTCCCCCCTCCCCCTTTTCCTCCCCCCTCCCCCTCCCCTCCTCTTTCCCCCCCTCCCCCCTCCCCCTCCTCCCCTCCCCCCTCCTCCTTCCCCCCCTCCTCCTCCTCCGCCCGCCTCCCCCTCCTCCTCCCCCCCTCCTTCTCCCTCCTCCTCCCCCCCTCCTTCCCTCCCTCCTCCTCCTCCTCCTCCTCCTCCTCCTCTTCCTCCTCCTCCTCCTCCTCCTCCTCCTCCTCCTCCTCCTCCTCCTCCGCCCGCCTCCAGTGCGGGCAGCACGGTCCTCCCAGGAAGGGGTTAACGGCGAGCCCCAGCCTGGAGGGAGGGGACTGGGCTGGACCATTTTCCTCGCCGCCGCTGCCGCCGCCTCCACCTCGGCTTTCCTGAATGGTTCTGCCGTCCAGGGGTGGGGAGGGAAGGGAAGGAAGGAGGGCGGGGGAGGGGGGAGGGAGGAAGGGGGGGAGGAGTGTGGGAAGAGGAAGGAAAAAAGAGCGAGCCAGCCGGGAAGAGAAAGATGTCACTGCCTCCTCTCCCTGTCACTTCCATCTGCAGCGGGCGCCGGGCGAGGGAGCCGCCGGGACAATGCTGAGGCGGGCGAGGTGAGGGGCCGGCCCTGCCTCCGCGGGCAGCGCCCGAGGGGCGTCTCGAACAGGTGATCGGAGGAGCCACCCGGAAGCCGAGGCCACCTGGCCATCCCTCTGCGCCCCCCCCCCCCCCCCCCGCGGCCAGGCCCTGCCCCCGCCAGAGAAGCTGGGGAAACCATGGCGACCAATTTCAACGACATCGTCAAGCAAGGCTACGTGAGGATGAAGAGCAGGAAGCTCGGGGTGAGCCTGCGGGGAGGGGCGGGCGCAGGAGGGGGGGGTGCGGGGGGCTTGCCCGAGCCGGGCGGGTTGGGGGCCCACAGCCCGGCGTCCTCATCTGCCTCTGGGCTTCTGGCGGGGGGTCTGCCTGGCATGTGCCCGGCCCGGCCCTGCCTGCTGCAGCCCCCGCCCCGGCAGGGTGGCTGGCATCCCAGCCGCTGGGCCAGTGGTGGCAAGCCGATGGGCGGATGGGCCGATGGGCCGATGGGCCGAGGTGCCAGCAGCTCCTGGCTATTGTTGAAGTTGTCAGGGCAGCGGGCAGGGGCTGGGAATGCCGGGCTGTGAGCACCCAGATCAGCTCTACTTCTCCTCTCCCCTCCTCTCCCCTCCCCTCCCCTCCTCTTCCCTCCTGTCCCCTCCTCTCCCCTCCTCTCCCCTCCCCTCCCCTCCTCTTCCCTCCTCTCCCCTCCTCTTCCCTCCTCTCCCCTCCTCTCCCCTCCTCTCCCCTCCTCTCCTCTCCCCTCCCCTCCCCTCCCCTCCTCTCCCCTCCCCTCCCCTCCTCTTCCCTCCTCTCCTCTCCTCTCCTCTCCCCTCCCCTCCCCTCCCCTCCCCTCCCCTCCTCTCCCCTCCCCTCCCTTCCCCTCCCCTCCTCTCCCCTCCTCTCCTCTCCCCTCCTCTCCCCTCCCCTCCCCTCCTCTCCTCTCCCCTCCCCTCCTCTCCTCTCCTCATCTCTCCTCTCTCCTCTCTTCTCCTCTTCTTCCCCTCTCCCCTCCTCTCCTCCCCTCCCCTCCCCTCCCCTCCTCTCCTCCCCTCCCCTCCCCTCCCCCCTGCCTCTCCCCTCCCCTGGCCTCCTTCCTTTAAGTGCCTCCTGCTTCCCACCGCTCTGCGTATGGGAATGTATTTGCTTGTCTCCGGGGCGCTCTCACCGTTGAGGAAGTGTGTGAAAGGAGGGGGCTGGCTGTGGGGTGCGCTGGGGTGAGGGGTGCAGAGGCTGATGCTTATGTGGTTCGTGAATGAGAACTGGGGCCCTCGGCTCCGAGTGGCTCGTCTGCGCTCGGCGTTTGGGTGTTTGGCCCCGAGCTGGGGCTTGGAGGGCTCGGGGAGACGAAGCCTCGGGCACTGGGGTGGGCACCCTCTCCCACACCCTGCTGGGAAGCCCCCTCGAGGGCATGAGCAGGGACCGACTTCATGTTCTTAGTGGGACTGTCCAGGAGTAGCCCCTCTTCCTCTGAACCCCCCTCACCCCCACCCACCCAGGGAGGGGGCTGGCCGCTGCCCTTCCCAGTAGGATGGAAGCCCTGGTGACAGGTGGCCCACGTTTTACCTGGGCCTCTGGTCCCTCCCTCTCCCTCGCCGGCCTGTGGCCTTGATGGGGTGGGGGTGGGATCAGACGGCTCTGGGCTTCCCGGCCCTGCCTGAGGGGGTGGGGGAGGAGCAGGGCTGCACACCAGCCCCCCTGCCTGGGCGCTGGCCTTGGAGCGGGGACCCCCTCCTGCCTGAGGGCCCTGCGGGGGGCCGTCTGACCGTCCAGCAGCGGAGCTGGCGGGCGGGCATTTGCAGCCTCATTGGAATTGGGGTTTGTGTCCCATCCTGGGCCCCAGCCCAGAGACAGGGGTCTGGCGGCTCTCAGCCACTGCTGTTACCCTGAGAGAGGGCAGCACCCACGGGAGCACAGGATGGAGAGAGAGCCTGAGGCTGAGGTGGGAAGCCGAGTGGGTAGGGGCGCAGGTCCTAGTGTGGCTGCTCCTCCCTGTGGGCCCAGACCCGGCAGGTCCCCAGGTCCTCGCTGGGCTGGGGCGCCTTCAGGATAAAGCTCACAAGCTCGGCTCAGCCAGGGGAAGAGGGGTTCGGAGCTGGGACATGGCTAGGCCCCAGCTGGGGTCTCCCCCCTCGGCGATCTGGGCTTCCCTTTGCAGACCTGATCCGAGGGACTGCAGCCACCCCTCAGGACAGCCATGAGGGGCGGGGGAGGGGCTGGCAGAGATGAGGAGCCCCCTGCCTGCCAGGGCCTTCCTCCAGCCCACGGTGCCCGCGGGCGTCGGGCTTTCTGAAGTGCTGATCAAAGACCTGCGAGAAGTGGGGAAGGAGGGCTCCTGAGCGCAGTGGCTCCCTGGGGCTGTGTGTGTGTGTGTGTGTGTGTGTGTGTGTCCCTGTAACCAGGCAACCAGGGTGCTCAGGCCCCCCCAGGCCTCTTGCCCCTGACGCTGCGGGCTGCATGGAGCCCAGCCTGGCAGGGCATAACTGGGTCATGCATGCATCCATCCATCCATCCATTCATTCAGGGTCCGGTCATATGGCCATTCACAGCTCTGTTAACGAGGCCGCCAGGATGTGCGTGAGGATGCCGGGAATAAAACGGTGTTTGTCCACAGGGGGCCGGCTGTGGTTTAGGTAGATGGGCCCGGGGCTGAGCCGGGATCATGGGACGGGGGCCGCCTAGGCCCCCTGTACCCTGGGACTCTGGCTGACAAAGGCCTGGGGCCTGTGTGGTGGCAGAACAGGGCTGGGGAGGGGCAGGGGCTTGGGGCTGTGCCAGTGAGAGGAGACCAGAGGTTTCTGGGGAGTGGGTCTGCAGGCTGCTGGAGTGCCTGCGGAAAGAGGGACATTCTAGCCAGACTCTGGACCCTAAGAGAGCCCGAGCCGGAGGGAGGGGCCATGGAAGGAAGAGGCACAGCCGGGCGGGTGGCGAGGGCCACCCCTCACGTTGTCTGAGCCAGTTTGCCCTGTAGCCCTCGAGACTGGTCCTCTCCCCAACACCCCCCCCCCCCCCCGCTACCCCCGCCCCGGCTCCTGGGCACAGGGTCACTGGCAGTTGGGAACCTTGATGGGGAAGGCACTGGGTCCCTAGACCTTGAGATCCTCTGGTTTCCCAGCTGGAACCGGCCGCTGTCCCTGCCCCCTCCTCCCCAGGCTGGTTAGAGAATGAAGAAGTGTGTGAGTGGAAGCTCCTGGAGGGAGTGGGGGAGGTGCAGGCTGGCGGTGAACACGGGGCTCAGCCCCACACCGGGACCCCTGCCGTTGTGGCCGGCGCTGCCGGAGCCTGGGCAGAGCTCGGTGTGCCCTGGGCTCCGGGTTCTGGCCCTGGGGCTAGACAGCCTGTGTTCCACCCTCACTGCCGTTTACCAGCCGTGACGTTACCTTTTGGTGCCTCCGTTTCCTTATTTACAACGTGGAGATAATAGAACCGACCTCAAGAGTGACCCCGAATAACTGTGTGGAGTGCTCATGCCAAAAGCACCAGCGAGAGGCACTCCATAAACACACTGGCTTCTGTCCCAGGAGAAAACCTTCCGCTCCTCCTCCCTCGGGGTCCCAGGAGATTGGTTCCAGGGTCCCCACGGATACCGAATCCACGGACGCTCAAGTCCCTTACGTAACGTGGCCAAGGACCATGCCTCCAGGCGGGCCTCTGCACCGATTCCCAGCCACACACATACATGGGCTGTATGTTTATGGGAGGAGGAGGGAATCCATGTGTAAGTGGACAAACCTGTGCGGTTCAAGGGGCACTGTGCACTGCGAGCCCAGCTCACAGTAATGGCGTGCACCTGTGGACGAGCCTTTCCGAGCGGCCAAGAAATAACTGCCTCTTCCCCAGGGGCTGTCATTGCTGGTGTCCGCCGTCCCCAGGTTTCCCTGGGCTGGGGCCTCCGGGACGGCTGTGCGGCACTGCCCCCTGTGGCAGGCAGGGGTCACTGCAGGGCCACGTTGGGTGGGAAGGGGAAGCCTGATTCCCTGGTCCTTGTCTTCGGGCCCCTCAGATCTACCGCAGGTGCTGGCTGGTGTTCCGGAAGTCCTCCAGCAAGGGGCCCCAGCGGCTGGAGAAGTACCCGGACGAGAAGTCCGTGTGCCTCCGAGGCTGCCCCAAGGTGAGGGGCGCGGGCCCTAGCTCCCCTGACCTGTAAGCAGTGGGTCCGAGAGCACCCTGCTGGGGGAGGCCGAACGGCAGGGAGGGGGGGAGAAGGGGGGTGTGGAGAAAGGGGCTCCCATCTGGCTGAGTCCCCCGTGGATGCTGCTGCAGGTGACCGAGATCAGTAACGTCAAGTGTGTCACACGACTCCCCAAGGAGACCAAGAGGCAGGCGGTGGCCATCATCTTCACGGACGACTCGGCCCGCACCTTCACCTGCGACTCCGGTGAGGACCTGGGGCTGCAGACCTCCCGCCAGCCTCCCCGGGGCCCGCCGTGGCTCAGCAGACCAGCTGGAGGGGCCAGAGCAGGGCTAGCTCTGGCTGGTAGGAGGGTCGGGGTGTGCCTGTGAGTGAGCAGGCCCCCAGGGTGAGGGGTAGACAGGCCGAATCTGCCTCCCAGGGTGGGATAGCTCAGGCTGAGAAGATGGGGTGGGCTCGGGGACACCCTGAGCCTGCAGCGTGACGAGGCCCCGTTTCCCTAGAGCTGGAGGCGGAGGAGTGGTACAAGACCTTGTCTGTGGAGTGTCTGGGGTCCCGGCTCAACGACATCAGCCTGGGAGAGCCGGACCTCCTGGCCCCGGGGGTGCAGTGTGAGCAGACAGGTGAGGCCTGGCGGTGGGTGGGGAGGAGGGCACAGGGGGCGCCCCCTGTGGGGAGGGGGGAAGCTCCAGCCCACTCCTCCTCTCGCCTCCAGATCGCTTCAACGTCTTCCTGTTACCCTGCCCCAACCTGGACGTGTACGGCGAGTGCAAGCTGCAGATCACCCACGAGAACATCTACCTCTGGGACATCCACAACCCCCGCGCGAAGCTCGTCTCGTGGCCCCTCTGCTCCCTACGCCGCTACGGCCGGGACGCCACGCGCTTCACCTTCGAGGCCGGCCGGTAGGTCCCCCCGGCCCCCCGTCCCCGTCCCCCCACGGTCATGGCGGCAGCCACCATCCACTGTGGGTCAGGCCCTGTGCTGGGAGTGGAAGTTGCTTACTTGGTGTAGCAACCCCAAAGGGAACGTAACATTCCCATTGTACGTTCCCCGTGGAAGCTCAGCGCGGCCGGCAGGCCACGTGAGACAGCTTAAATCCCAAGTCAGACTCTCGGGGCTTAGATCCAACACTGGCACCGACACCAGCTCTGGGGGGGTGGGCCCGAGCCTCCGTCCCCTCCTCTGTCGCGTAGGGGACGAGAGAGGACCTAACTCCATGGAACCCAGTGGGGAGGACTGGGTTCCACAGCGAGAACGCGGGGCGGCGTGCCTAGGCTTGGATTCTGTGACCTTGGAGTTCCTTACCCTCTGTGTGCCCGTCTTCTCACTGCGCAGTGGCTAGAGAAAACCCCTAGAAACGAGGAAACACATCGTGTGCAGAGCAGGGGGGAGGGGGGAAAAGGAATGGGTTCATTCCTGCAGAGCGTTTAGGCCACCCCCTGGGCGCAGAAGCCGGGGGTCAGACCCCAGGGCGACAGCCTGCCTGTGTCCCAGAGGGCCCAGGGCCCAGGAGAACTCATGTACCACCCAATCAAGCTCATGCGTGGGTGCCACGGGGTCCCCGCCGCCTTGCCTTCCATGCCACTGCCCCCCCAGGATGTGTGACGCGGGGGAAGGACTCTACACCTTCCAGACGCAGGAAGGGGAGCAGATCTACCAGCGGGTCCACAGTGCCACCCTGGCCATCGCCGAGCAGCACAAGCGGGTCCTGCTAGAGATGGAGAAGAATGTGAGGGTGAGGCAGCGGGGGTCCCGGCCCAGGGTGCAGGGGAGGCTGGAGGGCCGGCAGGCCGAGTACCTGGATGTGCCAGGGGGTCTCCCCTTAGGGTGCCCACAGGAGAGGCAGGCAGGGTCCTGGGCTGGCTGCTGGCGGGCAAGCCACTGTCCCCAGGGCTAACGGGAGGGACCCCCCTTTTCTGGCCCGCAGCTGCTGAACAAGGGCACGGAACACTACTCCTACCCCTGCACGCCTACGACCATGCTGCCCCGCAGTGCCTACTGGCACCACATCACGGGCTCCCAGAACATCGCCGAGGCCTCCAGCTGTGGCGGTGAGTCCCCGTGGCGCCCCTCGGCCACCTGCCACCAGGCTCTGTGGAAGACGAGGCCTCCTGGGCAGGGACCTTCCGGCCTGGACCCAAGCCCTGAGCCCGCCCCTGTGTCCACAGGTGAGGGGTACGGGGCGGCCCAGGCCAGCTCGGAAACGGACCTCCTGGACAGATTCATCCTGCTCAAGCCAAAGCCCAGCCAGGGCGACAGCGGCGAGGCCAGGACCCCCGCCCAGTGACAGCGGGCTGGTGTGCACCACCGACTGCGGGGCTGCCCGCTGCGCACTGAGGACAGCCGCGGGGGCTGCTTGCCATGCGCCTGGAGAAAGGGAGCCGCTGCCCCTTCCTCGCTCCCACGGGGGCGGCTGGACCGAGGCAGAGGGCTGGCCACACAGCCCGAGCATGTGCGAGGGGCTAGAGCTATCGTGGGACTATTTCCTGTTCATGATTTTAATATATACGGCTTATGACACGTCCTGTATTAACGAGATTCCCCCGTCCCTCCCTGCCACCACGTCCACTTTTGAATCCCATGACCGGGCCACCGCCACGGCTGGTTCTGAACGTGCTCCATGGCACAGCCTCCTGCTGCCAGGACCCGCCTGAGCTGCCAGGGCCGGAGGCAGACAATCAGAACTCAAGGCTGGTGCTGCTGGCAGGCTCTTCCCAGGAGCCAAGGGCTAAGGCAGCAAGTGGCTTCTCAGTTCCCCTGGGCCCAGTGGCGCAGGAAGGATCCGAACTCCCGCCGTGCCACTTGCTAACATCTGGCCGACACCTCAGTGAAAAGCTGGTTTGAAGACAATTTCTGCCCGGACTCCTTCCCACTTTGTAGGCCGAGAAGACCCCGGTGGGTAGGAGAGCTGGTGACCTCAGCCAGGAGACGCGGCCAGGCCAGGAGGGGGGGGGGGGCCGGCGGGACTGCTGTGGGGAGCTCCCTGCGGCACCCCCTCGCTGACCCGGGCTGGCAGTGCCCCTGCGGAGAGAGGAGAGAGGCCCCTCTCTGGCTGGCCACCCTTTGGCCAGAAAGTACTCAGAAACCAGCCCTCCCACTTCCTCCCCACATGGTGCTGAGCCTCCCTGCTGAGATGCAATTAAAGCAATTGATTTTCTAGTGCTGGTATTTATTGACTACTGGGCAGAAGGGCTATCTTTCTATCCACATCAAACCTTCCGTTGTGTTTTTTTTAATGTTTTTTTTTTTTCCCTTAAATACTTACGGTTCTGATTTGTGGGAACAGACCTTGTTACCCTGATGTAAATAACCACTGTTCAAAGTTGTGGCAGGAGGAGGATGAAGCTGGAGGCCCCTCCAGCCAGCTCAGCTCAGAGCTGAGCAGGGAGCGACCACCAGAGGCACAGGCCTGCAGGAGCGCCCACTGGGGCCTGGAGGGGGAGCTGCTGGCTCAGCGCGCAGCACGATGGCGCATGGAGATTATGTTGTGCTCTTTATTGCCAAAAATAAAAACTGCTGTTAATACTCCGTCCTTTCTGTGCTGTATCTCCGGTTTTCTCCAATGCCCCCCCGCCAAGCTGCCTCATTAACTGCTCCGGGTATGTTCCTGCCAACAGGACTAGGGTCAAGGCCAGACCTTCGTTAAAGCCCTTGCCCACCCCACTCTCCCCCTTCCCCCCCAAACTAATTAAGCAGATCACTGGCAGTGAAGGCATAATTGATGGGTAGAGAATGAAATACAGGGTTTATTTGGGGGGAGGTTGGGAGGGGGAGGGAAGAGCAGCCATATCCAAAGACATTGGGGAATTTGAGCAAAGTGTAGGCTGACCACGGGCAGGGGCTGGGTTTGCAGGGGGCCTGAGAATGAGACTTCTAACACTCAATCCTAACACGGAGACCTAAGGTACAACTGTGAAATGCTAACTTCCACACAGACACTAAGTCAGGAGCTCAAATGACCAACAGAGGAGGGTCTAGCCCAGTGGTTTTCAACAGGGAAGCAGTGCGACCTCTACAAGCAGACCAGGGGGATGGAGGGCTGGGTTCTGGGGAGACCAGCCATCAGCAGGCAGGGCCAGGGATGCTGCATGCTCAGGGAGGGACTGGCCTGCCTCAAACACCAGGGGCACCCCCGTAATCTACCTGGGACCAAGCAAGGATGGGGGAAGACCCTTCCCCGCTGCTCTCTCCCCGGTTGGTGCTGATGGCGTGCGTGCAAGTGAGGTACAGCTGTCGGGACTTCTGGGGCTGGGAGGGACTCGGGAGACTTGCGCACAGCTGCTGCTCGGATCCTTTTCCGCTAGGCGGATGAGCTGCGGCTATTAGTTTATGGTGAGGACGTCACTCTGGATCTCGTGGCTCAGCTGGGTCTGTAAATCACTCAGCTTCTTCTTCAGCCCAGAAAGGGCCGAGAGGACGATGGTCTCAGGGCGCAGAGAGCCACAGGACTCCACGTTGTAGTAAAACCTGAGGGGCGGGAGTCCAGTGAGAGCCGCCCAAGGGGCCACCCCTTTCCCTCCCGCGTCCTCCTCTACTCCTTCCCCACCAGGAGCACAGCCTTGCTCCGGGGTTGACCTCCACCCTCTTACAGCGTGCTTTTTACAGGGCCTCTATGGCTGTGCCTGCACCGGGGAGAGAGTGGAATAAACGAGCAGGTCGCACGGCCAGCGTCTCTGCTCCTCACTAGGAGGCTGACCAGCTTCTGTCCCTGATGTGACCCCATCTTTGGATGCTGCGAACCAGAACAGGAGGAGCTTGGGTAATTGGAGGGCCCTCTTTTTCAGTGATTAAAAGGGGGGGAGGGGTGCACCCATTCTGGGTTCAGCCGCCTGCAGCCCCTCCTCGGGGGCTTTCTGGAAGCTCAGACATGAGGGCAAGGGTCACCCTAGCTCAGAGCCTGCACCAAAACTGTACGTTCCAACACATTTCGCCGTCCGTACCGGCCCAGGCGCTTACCTCTCCGGCTTGCCATTGGGGTCGTACGGAGCCTGGGACTCGTCTTCATCCAGCTCTGAGTACTCGCTCTTTGGCCTGAGGTCAAACACAGGTCAGCACCCGGTTGTTAACTGTAGCGAGTCTGCCCATCTGGGTCACTAGGAGCCGTGTCCACCCCATGCCCTCTACCCGCCGCCTCCATTTCCAGCGGGCACCTACCACTCCTCCGGCTTGGGGTACACCGTGTGCCTCAGGGCATTGTCGGGATCATATTCAAAAGCCACGCCTGCAGTCGGGTTCCACTTAGCATGCTCCTTGCCAAAGCCCTTCTTGGCATAGGCGCGGAGGCGCAGCTCCTGGCCCTTGCGCAGCTTGACAATGAGGATGTCTGAGGAGAGAGGTGGGAGTCGGGGCGGGGCCAGGAGAGGACGGTCCCCCCACATACACCTGGGGTGCCCCTGGAAGGCCACACAATCAGGAAAAACGGACCAAAGACCAGCACGAGGCTGTCTGTCTGTCTCTGCCTCCCTGTTCTGCCGAGCAAAAGGTCGGTAGCCATCGGCACTCACGCCAGGCCCTTACCATCCTGGTCCACGTAGTCATTAGGGTCGTTATCTCGGTTCCGGGATGTCACCTGCCGAAGCCCAAACAGAGACATCAGCCGCTCAGCTCCTGCTCTTCTGACAAGTACCTCCCAGCTCTCCCAGGTCACAACCCGCCAGCCAGGGGCAGGATGCCCACAGGGAGTGCAGGAGTGCCTGCTAGGACCAATCTGTGCTGGTGCCTGCCCTCCCACCCCTGCTTCCCGGCTTTGTGACAGTCCTCTGTCAAAACAACACCGTGGCCTTTTCTTTACTTTAAAACTGATCTCAGAGAGGAAGGGAGAGATAGTGATGAGATCAGTGATGAGAGAGAATCACTGATTGGCTGCCTCCTGCATGGCCCCTATTGGGGATTGAGCGTGGGCATACGTCCTTGACTGCAATTGAATCCTGGACCCTTCAGTCCACAGGCCAACACTCGATCCACTGAGCCAAACCGGCGAGGGCTTTTAAAGGGGCCTGGGCGACAGAGGGCCCAGCCAGCAGGAGCCCAGGATGAGCATGTCCACCAGGGGGACACAGATCCTCCCCCGCCCCGCCCATCCAGAGGCAGAGGGAGAAGAGCCAAGGGCCTGGGCAGGGGCTGTCCTTAGCCACTGACCGGAATGACCCGGGGGCTGTTGGAGATGAGGTCTCGAGACGTGACGTGACGAGTCTGGTCTTCGTTGCACCGCACGTCCAGAGTGAACTCCACCGAGCACTCCGAGCAGAACTCCTCGCACGTGCAGTCCTGAGGCGGGGAGAGCAGGTGAGTGTGTGTGTGTGTCTGTGTCTGTGTGTGTGAGATCCTGAGCTCTTTGCTCGCGTTCCCAGTTCCTACTATTTCTCCATCTAGAAAAGGGCTGACCAGTCGCCAGACCCTGGGAGCTGTGTCAATCTGGGGTCCTTTCCACTGCAGGCACTTCCCAGATTAGAGACAACCGTGTGTGCTGACACCCGCACTCCTTCCACACCCGCCAGCTGCCAGGCTGCCAGCGACACGCACTGTTCACGTCTCAGCCTGGCCCTGCGCGTCTCCGTCCCAGAGAACCGTGGCGATCCTCTAGCTCAGCCCCCATGGACCAGGGGGACTAGCCCGGGAATAGAATCATTTAAAGGAAATAAAAGGAAACTAGGAAGAAGTACCTTTCAAGTTCTGGCTACTGACCTTTTCTTAAAGCAAAATAAAACGCACACACACACATATGTAAAAAATAGCAAATGTAACAAAATATTAACAATTGGCAACAAAGGTAAAAAGTAAATGGAATTTATTATTGTTTCAACTTTTCTGCAGATTTTCAGAAAAGCTTACGCGCGCACGCACACACACGCACACACACACACACAAAGGACCATACCATCTTTCAGTAATGCAACACTAGAGAAAATTTAATAGCCCAACCGGTGACACAGTGATTGAGCAGCAATCTATGAACCTGGTCAAAGTTCGATTCCCACTCAGGGCACAGTACCCAGTAGGGGGCGTGCCTGATCCTTTCTCCCTCTTCTTCTCTGATATCAATAACAACATATTAACAAATCAATGGGAGGAACAACGAGGCCACAGGGCGTGCCTATCTTTGCCAGAGCCTCTTCAGCAGATAGGCTGCACACCTGAACCCACCGATACCTGACGCTTTATTTCTTAAAAACAAAAATCTGAAGATGTGAAGCAAATACGGCAAAATGTTAAAATGTGACAAAAGGAGAGCACGGTATCTGTTATATCAGCTACACACTTACACACATGCACACATTTGTATTCATAGGACCTATCAAATTACCCGCCGCAGAAAATGACACGCTCTTGGCAATTAGCTGGGCTGATTCAGGATGGAGAGAAGCCAACAAAGGGAATAGTCTCCAGCTACTGTCCAATGCAGTCCTGGTGAAGAGATGTGGTAACCTATCCCCGTCCTGTCCTCTCCCTGGAGGGAGGAGCCACGTTTATTAGCATCACCTACTGCGTGAGCCACAAATCTGGTGGCAGCCACCGGCACTCCGGTCTCTGGGTGCTGCTCAGCGGCAGGTCTCACTCCTCTCCTGTCCCCACCCTCCCCAACCTGCGGTTGGCTCCCTTTAACCTCCTAGGCCCCGTCACTGGGAAGAGATGCCCTGGAAAGCAGAATCGGAACAGAGCAGACTGAAATGTACCTCCCCGCTTGTACACACAGGCATTCTAGTGTATCCCCCCATCTTGTGTGACGGACGCCCTGTGAGCCTCATCAATCTGAGGCCCGTCAGAACCAAGGACCGATGCCTGCCGTAGGCTCCAGACAACAGCTCCACATCGTCTTCCTAAAAGCTAGAAGCAAGATGTCAGGAAAACCCTTCTGAGAACGGAAGGCCCCAGCTTCCCTGGCTGCCCAACCCCCCGGCTCACCCGCGAGTACTGCAGCTTGTCCACAATGTCATCGCTGGTGAGGGGGATTAGCCCTGCAAGACACGGAAAAGCACTTCGAAGAAGGCCAAGCAGCCAAGCCAAAAGGAGAGCCTAGCAGTCCCCTTGGGAGTGAGGAAGCTTCCTCTCTGACACCAGACACAGCCCCCGCCCCTGCCCCGTCCCAAGCCCGGCACTCACCAAGCCTGTGAGCGATGAATTCGTCGTGAAGGACTGAGGAATTGGCGTCGATCTGAACCCAGTCAATGGCTGAAACGTGAAGGAAGCAGACATGCAGCTTAGCCTCCGAATTCTAAGAGCTTACAGCCGTGGTTCCCGAGATGTAGGAATCACCTGATGCGTAAGGTGCAGAGGCCTGGGCCCAGGATCCTGCATTTTCACCAGAACCACACAAATGCCACACCCCGCACACCCCTTCCCTGCTCAGCGGGGTCCCTAGAGCACAGAGAAAAATGACGGCCTAGCGTACAGTACAGGAGCGGGAGCATTTTCTTTGAGCAGAATATTCCCCAGAGTAGCACGTACATCTGCTACTCATGCCAATATGAAATCCAAGAACACAAACTATTTGGGCACTTAAATCCCAGGGAAAGCCTCGAGGTAACACGGATGTCTAGCCCATATCTTATTTTATGGTATAATGACCAGATTACCCTTTATTAACACTACATTACCACTCAATCGACCAATGTTGACAGAATTACTCCAATGGGCAAGACATACTCAGTATAAAACCCAGTCCCTACCAGCATGGATAGCAGGAGGGAAGGACTGCACGCTCACACACATCTGAATGACTTAAGCACACATTCATTCATTCCTTCACATCTGCATGTAAGCGAATTCGTAAAGCAAATGGCACTGGAGCTCACCTGTCAAATAAGAGGTGTAAATACTAAAAATGGAAGTCTGAGGAGGACCAGACACAACCAGGCCCGCCTGCTTTGTTCACGCTTCCTATTGCTTCTTTCTCTCAGCACAAGTCAGACAGGGACAAGCTAACCTTCCCAGTCTCTGTCCCTTCACAGCCGCATCTCCCTCCCGCACCCCCTTGCCCTCCCCAGCGAAGGTTAAAAACCTCCGAGCCTCCATGATACAGATACAGGAGCCTCGGACTGACCTGTGGCAGAGCCACATACAAGTCCCAGCTTGGAGGGGAGAGCCTTCCTGGCACAATTAAGCTTGACCTTACAGTCCTCCCTTGTTCCTAAGTAGCTAATGGGCTGTGGGAGGTGCAGCAAGTGCTGCCAAAACAAAGCTTGAGTAACAAAATAGATTTGAAACTCACATGAACATTGTAAACATGTTGACCACTCTCTCCCCCTCCCTTGCTTTGCTTGGTGTGATCTGACTATAAAATCTTTGGCTTACAGGCTGGGTCACTGTTTCCTCATCCAGGCACAGTGATCCCACCTGGCCCCAACTGTATTCTCTCGTCTTCTTTAATGCTTCACCGCCGCCCCCCCCCCCCCTTTTTTCAGGATCACCCTCCCTGTAAGCTCCTCCCTAAAAAATCCTGACCAGATTTCTCTTAAGACACTTGTCGTATTGTGCCTTGTGTTACATTTACGTGGGTCTTGTTTCTACCTCAAGCTCCGAAAATCCCCTGGAGCAGGTCTTCAGGTATCTTAGCTTTCGTATTCCTACCTCTAGGCTGGAACGTAGCAGGCTCTCATTTATTTGCGGGACTGAATGGGAAAAGTGGCATTTAAATTTAAATCAGGGCTGCATCATAAAGTGCAACTCCCTCATTTTACTCCTAATGAAACCCAGGCCCAGAGACATGAGCGATCGATCAGGCAGAGGGAGGGCCAGCACACCAAGCTGTGAGTTGACCAGACGGGGAGGTGGAGGATCAACTACAATGTCCTCCCATTTACCCACTTGACCTGCACACCCGTTCCCACCAATATTCCCTGATGCAGCAGCTGACTTACATTTCACTTTCCTAAACTCTCTAAGCGGACACTCAGAAAATATTGGTAGTTTGTGTGCAAATTTGCAAGATACCTGGAGCATTGAGGCTGGAACTAGAGCAAAAACAGATCCTCCCTCTAAGCCAGTGGTTCTCAACCTTTCTAATGCCGCGACCCTTTAATACAGCTCCTCATATGGTGGTGACCCCCAACCATAAAATTATTTTTGTTGCTACTTCATAACTGTAATTTGGCTACTGTTCATGAATCTTAATGTAAATATCTGTGTTTCCCGATCGTCTTAGGCTCTATAGCAACGGTTCTCAACCTGTGGGTCATCAGCACCGGAGCCCAGCTTCTTCCAATACTGGATCAAAGCTACCTTGCATTAATGTCGTCTGTGGACTCATCTTTCCCCTGCAACTTCACTGTGGGCTCTATGAAGGCAAGAACCCTGTCCTATACAGCTAGATCTGCATTCCCAGTGCCCAGCCACTGCCTGGCACTTACATGTTCCACAAATGCAGTTGAAACAGATTCATAAAAAGACATCTAGCAGCAAAAGATACCTAGCAGCCCTGGCTGGCGTTGCCCAGTGGTTAGAGCGCCGGACACCGGACTGTGCACTGGAGGGTCTCAGGTTCCATTCCAGGTCAAGGGCACATAACCTGGGTTGTTGTTTCAATCCCTGGCCCTGGCTGGGCTGCGTGCGGGAGGCAACCAATTGATATGTCTCTCTCACATCAATGTTTCTCTCCCCCTCCCTTCCACTCTCCCCAAAAATCATTGGGAAAAAATATCCTTGGGTGAGATTAACAACAACAATAAAGACATCTAGCAGCACTGAACATTCACCACACGTTAGGCACTGAGTAGTGAATACCTTACTTCATCCCTGCCATCATAGGTCCTAACTAATAGCGTCCCAATGTTACAGAGAAAACCACAGTTTCAGACCCCGTAAGTGAACACAGTACTCGAACCCAAGTTCGCAGACTCCTGCACCCATGCTCCTCACCAATGCAAATTAAGAGTGGACCTGAGTGTAAGTGGCCTTTGGGAGCCAGGGAGGTGATCTTGGGCCAAGGGCACAGGGTCCGATCAAGCTTCCATCATCGCTGCTTTCTCAGCGACACTCCCTGCCCCTCCCCCTCCTCCCCCGCCCCCCCGCCTCCCCCGCCCCCCCGCCCCCCCGCCTCACCCAAACCGGGGCTGCAGGCAGAAGCCCCAGGGTGTGTGGTCAGGGGATCGAAGGGTGGAGGTGAGTCTGGGGAGCACTCGAGGCCCTGGCAACGAGGAAACGGGGGCTGCTTACCTATTATGGGCACCTCGGCGATGAAGACCCTCCGAATAGAATTAGCCACCCTGAGGGATGGAAACAGGCGCTGTGAGGGCACCGCAGCCTCGACAAACCGGTGTCCCCCCCCCCCCGGCCCCCCGTTTCCAACGTGAAAACCACGGCTCGGCGCAGGGGACCTGCAGACTCGGCCCGTCCTCCCTCCCGCCCTCCACCCCCGGCTGCGGCCCCGGCGCCCCCGAGCCGCCGGCCGCTCCCCGCAGCAGCCTTACGCTAGGTCCGTGTTCTCGATGATGAACTTGACGTTCTCGTCCGTGAGCTCCGTGATCCGCACGGTGGGCTGGTTGGCATACGGCATCGTGCTCCGCGGCCCGGCGGGCCGCCGGCGTCAACACTGCGGCGCGCTCCCCGCGTCCACCCTGCAGCGCGCCCCCCGCACCGGAAGTCGCAGGAAGTTACCGGAAGTCGCTCAGCGTGGCCCCCACCGCTTCCTCGGAGACGCGCCCACAGCACCACCTACTGCTCGGAGGCCGGGACTGCTCCGGGCTCGCCGTTTTCTACCCCACCACCTGGTTTCAATGCACCGGTTGGACCATCTAGGATGGTGATTTGGCAAAACACGCATACATCCTTGACTCAACAAGAACGCTTCCAGGAATTTAAGCTGCAGAAATGCTCATAATTTCAAGCAAAGATATATTTACAGGGATGATCACTGCAGCACAGTTTGTAACATCAAAAAATAAATAAAATTGTCCATTGAGAGGCCTGGTGAAATATACAAACATAGAAATACTATTGTCTTTCAAAAGAATGAAGTTTGTACATTACCTTAGCCAAATATACTTGAATGATAGGTATATACCCTTTCCCTTCCCACTTGCAGCCTGAGCTGACCCATTCAAGAGTTAACCATACTTGCAAAAGCCCAGCCAGCATAGAGGCCAAAAAAATTATTAGATTGTATCACTGAAATGGATAGCAATAGACAAGCACAGCCAAAGGAGCAAACGGTGAGAGGACAGGCCTGTCACCCATTTTACTGATGGGAAGCCTGAGCCCAGAGAGGCAGCTCCAGGACTAGAACTCGGGTCTCTTGGCTGCCAGCCTCAAACCTTCCCCACACTCTCTCTCTCTGGGGTCTTGGATACCTGCCATGCCTGGATGAAAACTAACTACACAACAGTAAATGGATTCAAACATATTTATTAGTATTTTTACAGAGTCTAAGTTCACTAATAAGCCTGCACGCACGCTGGTGTAATGTGACACCAGGCCTGAGACCACACCGCGGGCCTGTGAACCACTGTCCAGCAGGCACCTGTCTCATGTGGCAGCTTTCTGAGGGGTCCCAGGTGCAGTATCTCAGGCTGCTGGAGAGGAAAAAGGCCGTAAGGAAGACCTCTGGGTGCCTGTGCCGTGCTGTGGATCAGCTGTCGCAGGGGTAGCTTCAGACCCTGACTCTGACTTGGGAGTCCCAGAGAGCATTCTAGGAAATTAAGATATGACCTAGGAGCCTGTGAGACAGGAAGGCCGGGCTGGGTTTCTGTGGCTTGAATGCTTGGATGAGAACCTCAGTTGTCAATCACACAACCGCAGAAAGACATCCGGAAGCCGGGCTTGGTACTAGGAACTGAGGAAGCGGCCCACTCCCGGGCTACAACTCTCTCATCAGGTGCCCTGTGGCTTCCAGGTGGCTGTGGTGGTGACTCAGGAGTCCTGTCCTGTGCTGGCACTTCATACTGTTCAATGTCCTTTAAATATATCCGCAGGCTTTCTTCTGGGCACTCTGGCTTATACCCCTCCTTTCTTGCTCACCGGCGCTGGTTCAGACCTGTCAGGTTCTTGAGCTGATAAAGGGGAGGAAACAGAGAGAGTGCTAAGGCCTGCCCTGCCCCAGGACTTCCATGGGAGCGGTCAGGATTTTTTTTTTCTTTTCTTTTTTTAAAATATATTTTATTGATTTTTTACAGAGAGGAAGGGAGAGAGATAGAGAGCTAGAAACGTCGACGAGAGAGTAACATCGACCAGCTGCCTCTTGCACACCCTCCACCGGGGATGTGCCCGCAACCAAAGTATCGACACATGCCCTTGACCGGAATCAAACCCGGGACCCTCTCAGTCCGCATACCAATGCTCTACCACTGAGCCAAACCGATTTCGGCAAGAACGGTCAGGATTTTCAAGCAGCACACGTGGCTGGGGCCTGATGTCCCGGGGCAGGGAGTCAGCCAGTAAAAAACAAAGAGGTGGGCTATTTGGAATCAAGAGAATTGGACTGCATCGCTGTCAGTCTCATTACTAGTTTTCCAGTTCAAGGCTACAGAACTACTTGGGGTCAGGGTACACTGAATAAGCAGCACAGGGCCAGAGTGGGATGGGGAGGGCAGGGATGAGCGGGGAAGTACCCACCGTCACTGCTGCACCCATGAGTCCTTGCACCAGTGCCTCTCCAGTGGACTTCACCTAGAAGGAGTCAGAGTCAGGTTCTCTTAGCCCCCACCACAGGCAAAGGTGAGACAGGTAGGGCAAACCAGCAGGCCTACTAGTCCCAGGTGGAGTCTAGAGGGCTGTATACTGGAGGAAGAGCCTATGGACCACAGAGCCCCAAACAGGCCAAGTATGGCTCTTCGGAGAGGCTGCTATGAGGAGAAACCAGCCAAGCTCCCCGGAAAGGCCCTCAGGACTGTCAGCTGAGGCCAAGGGGAAGCGAGAGAGAGCCAGTGCCCTGCTGTGACCCGAGGAGGGTGTGCCTGGCGAGGCGGCTTCCCAACGGCTAGCCCCATACCTGGTTGGCAGTGTGGCCCATGTTCATCGCATCGTTAATCCGGTTTTCCAAGAAGCGCCATGTGTCCTCGAAGTCTGGGGAGGAGTCCTGCATCATCACCAGCTCGGTTGTGTTGTAGATAGCAGCCAGCACGGCCCGGCGGGTGTACCAGTTGAACTGCAAAGAAAACCACCCAGGCAGGTGGGTCAGCACTACTGATGCGGCTGGGGGCGATGGGGGGGTGGTTTCTGCCAAAGCCCCAGGCACGCATGGGCTTCCTCCCGATTTCTTCTTTCCATCACGTGGCTGTACCTCAGAATGACCTGGGAGATTAAAAACGCAAGCTCCCAACCTGGCCGGATGGCTCAGTCGGTTGGAGCATCATCCCGTGCACTAGAAGGTTGTGGGTTCAATTCTCAGTCAGGGCACATACCTAGGCTGTGGGTTCAATACCTGGTTCGAAGAGAGTACAGAAAGCAACTGATGTTTCTTTCTCACATCAATGTTTCTCTCTCTCGCCCACCCTCTCTTTCTTTCTTTCTTTCTAAAAATCAATAAACACATGTCCTTGGATGAGGATTTTTAAATATTGATTTTTTTACAGAAAGGAAGGGAGAGAGATAGAGTTAGAAACATCGATGAGAGAGAAACATCAATCAGCTGTCTCCTGCACACTTCCCACTGGGGATGTGCCTGCAACCAAGATCCATGCCCTTGACCAGAATCGAATCTGGGACTTTAAGCCCACAGGCTGACGCTCTATCCACTGAGCCAAACCAGTTAGGGTGGGATGAGGATTTTTAAAAAATGTTTTAAAAAAAGCAAGCCCCCACACCCAACCTCTTAACGTTCAGTCAGTGGGTCCGAAGTGCCAGGAGTCTGGAGGTTTACTAAGGATGCAGGTGACTTTGCTACATGTGGTCCCTTTGGAACTGCTGGTGAAGAGACTAAGTCGTGAAGAGACTAAGTCTTAGGCCATCTAAGTGCTGGGGAGGCTCTGGGGTCAGCCAGGTATGAGCGAACTGGGCAAGGGATGGCTGAGAATCATGGACAGCGAGAACAGCGAGGAAAAGCTGAAAGGTCAAGTCCTTTAGCGACGCCGACTTCCTGGGAAACTACTCTTCGGAGCATGGCTCCGCTGCTTCGTGTTTTATTCCTTTAATTTCTTTGCTTTCTAATTTCATATTGCTATCATCTCCGTTGCTGGTATATTCCCGCAGGGGGAAGTTTATTAAAGCACTATGTTAGAGCCGGGTGGGAGCATCCGTTTCCCCAGTCAGGATATCAATTTCTTTTTATATACGTTTTAAAAAAAACTTCCTTACAGAAATATAATAGCATTCACAAGTCACATTCTTTCCTGGTGCCTGTTTAAAAGCTTATTGATTTCTTAGCAAAGCAGGCCAAGATGGGCTGGGGGTGGGAGTTTCTTTTTAAAGCAATGGTGTCTCCAAGGCATTAAAAAAATCAGTCTCATGAAAGTCACACTGAGAAATTCTGCTGTAGAATATAAATTTTAGGAGACGGGGCGGGGATGGGGGGTGCATTATAAAAGAGCAGCCCAATCACAAGGCCCTCTGGCGTCTTTTGTCACCACTGCAGGCCGGAAGAAGGACCACTGGTTTGTGATAGAGTACTGGCTCCTGAATAAAGATGACCTAGATTCTACTGTGGCTGTTGAGGGCCTTCCCTCACACTTCAGCCTCTCCTTACCAGGAGGGGAATGGCACTGCAGACTCCTGGAGAGGTTTGTGATCAAAGAAATGTCACAAACATGTTGAAGAAATGCTCAACCCAAGCTTTTCCCAGCATCCCGTGGGCCTGCAGAAACACTCACGTCAGTGGACTGGTCCCCAGCGTAATGCCACATGTCGTCCACCATGTTGGTGAGCAGGCTCAGGCTGGCCGGGATGTTGTGAGGGAGCATGAGGATGCTGAGGGCCTGCGGGGAGAATGACAGGGGGAGGTAGGTACTGCACACGGGTGACAGCCGCGCATGCGTGGCTGGTGCCTCACCTCTCCTCTGACCTATGTAGGGGGCTTGCCCAGCTCGCATTCTGAGCCCACCTTTCACCCCCTCCTGGTGGCTAACAACCCTGACCACAGCCGATGGGAACCAGGGCCCATCCTACCCTCCTGGCCCAATCAGATCCTCCATCCCCAGCATGTGGACTTGGGAATGCAGACAGCAGAGGATCAGGCCTGGTATCTCTGAATACCGAGAGCGAAGACAGGGAGGTCACATGGAGGAAGAAGCGGAGAGAGGAAGGAAATCTGGGGGTGGTTTCTGGGTCCAAATTCCAGGTCACATTCCTCCTGTTGTCCTACTGCAGCCTCACTAAGTTCCTCCCCATGACCTTTTGCTCAACTCAAGGTGACTTGTTACTGAAAATAAATCCTTGAACACAAGCAATTGCACAACTTAGACTCCTCTATCAGCAGACACCTCCTGACAGCACAAGGTCTTGCCACTTTGTCAACTGGAAAGTCCTTGGCCGGGGCCTCTGGGGTTTGGACAGAGAGGTCCTGGATTAGCCGGAGAGTGACCTCTCGGCGCAGGAGCCCAGGAGGCAGCCAGGCCTAACGCACTCGTTTTTATCCCTTGAACTGTGAGGCGTCTTTATCCCTTGAACACACCCGGTCTGGGCCTCACGTGTCTGTCCACTGACTGAAATGCCGAGTGCAATAGAGTCCCAGCGGGGTGGGGGACACCAGACGGCTGTGCGCTCCTCTGATGTGCTTCGACTTTACTTAACTGAGAGAAGGACCCACACTGTGACGTGCTTCGAAAGAGGAAAAAGGAAACCTCAGAGAAGGGCAGAAAAGCCCTTGGATGAAGCTCCAATCCTCACGCATCACACTGACAATCTGAAAAGAAGGCCAGCCCCTGAGATCTGAGACAACAGGCCCGTTCACGACAATGGCCAACACAACGTGCTGACTTTTCTCATATCCTTCACGGACCCCTCCTCACTGAAGACCTGCGGGCCCACTCGGGCCACCAAGGCCCCCCTCAGGATGTGATCCGGTCCCAAGGCCACTCACATCTCCAGCGACTGAGACACAGATGCTCCACGTTAACTCTCTAAATCTGAAACCTAGCTCTGCCACGTGCCCGGAGCATCCCTGGGCCTGGGAGGTCAGTGAGCTGAGGCCTGACAGCGCCCAGCGCTCCGAGGGGAAGGAGCTGGCGGTTCCCATCTGAAGACATTGCTGCCCGGGGCCTGGCTTTGGACTGTACCCGCGGCCAGTGCTCAATGTACGGGATCAGCATCCTCAGTCTGGTCTCCACGGCGTCCCTCAGGAACTCGTCTGTCTTCCTCTTCCTGGAGGAGGGAAAAGAAAACACGCTCTGGGTGAAAGGCACGGCTCGGTGCTGGCCTGTCGACAGCTGTCCAGGCCAGACGGCTGGCTGCCTGTCAGCCAGTCCCTGAAGCAGCAGCTGCTGAACACCCCTCTTTTGGCTCTGCGTGGACTGGCCTCCTGGGGACAGCTGGTGGGGCCTGAGTCACTCGAGCCTTAGCTGCCATCCCGAGCGATAACGCCACAGCACTTACTCTGCCTGGCTCAGCTGGACCTGCTTCTGCTCCTCTTCCAGCACCTGGGTGAGCCGAGCATTGCACTGGGTCACAAAATGCAGGATGAGCTCACTGCCATCGTTCCCGAACATGTTGGCTGCTGCACTGGACAGGCCCAGAGACTACAGAGGGAAGAACAGGACGGTGGCGGCAAGTGCGGTGGACATGTGTTGCCCGCTCGCCACTAGTGCCTCTTCTAGTAACCGCAGCTTTGTTTTCAGGGGCCACCCCACTCTTCGTTCTTCATCTGTGAGACTTGAGTGAAGCTAACCACACGCCATCAAGCCCCTGGCGTGCTGCAAAGCATGGGGCACAGAGCTGGACGGGAGCTCACAGCGCTATCCCAAAGATGCGCACGTGAGCGATCTCAGGCCTGGAGAAACCGCCTCGGGACTTAGGCTGGGACCGATGGGAAAGAGGAGCACTGCTGAGCCATCCCCAGTCCTGCATGGGAGGCCCCGGCTGAGAATGGAGCTCAGAGAGAAATGCGAAACAATTATGCTGGAAAGAAAGGTCCCAGCCCCACAATCCAAGAATATTGTGCCCAACTATTTCCAGACTTCTCTGTTATTAAATGAGCCACAACTGCTTGAGCCAATCAGAGTGGAACTCTGACACTTGTAACCTGGAGTCCTGACATAAAAAGGGGCTGGGGAAGAACACTCATAACCCTTTCCCTTACCAATTCACTTAATTTATCTCTGGGAATTCGAGTCATTTAGTTGTTTAAAGAACAACAATAAGCCAAAACCGGTTTGGCTCAGTGGATAGAGCGTCGGCCTGCGGACTAAAAGGTCCCGGGTTCAATTCCGGTACCTTGGTTGCGGGCATATCCCCAGTAGGGGGTGTGCAAAAGGCAGCTGATCGATGACTCTCTCTCATTGATGTTTCTAACTCTCTCTCTTCCTTCCTCTCTATACGAAATCAATAAAATATATTAAAAAAACAACAACAACAACAAAAACCACCCAGAGAATCCTACAGGGGTGAGGGGTTCCAAGCCAGGCTGTACTTTGGCTGATGTTGGTCAGGCTGCCCGCCCTCACCTATACACACCTGGGCTCCTTCTGCAATCGCCTCTGCCGTCCACCCATGGGCAGGCACGAACTCCAGGGCTGCTGTCAGGATGCGGTGCTGCAGCTGCTCCTCACTCTCATGGTCCTCCTCCTCGTCGCCGGCCTGGTCTGTGTACCTGAGACCCAAATCCAAGGGAGACATGGGACAGAGCCTTGCACACCTCATCTACTGCCTGCTGCCTCGAGTGCAAAATGAGCCTGACCAGAACCCACAGCTACTAGTTGGCACTTGTTGGGAGGACATTTACGTTTGTGTATTGGTATCGCAATGCCAACCCAGGAAAACTTCTATCATCCTTCCCTTCCCGTATGCTCACTGAGAAAAGGCGGCAGCGAGCGAGGAGGTCATGCCATAAGGCACATGCTCCTGCAGCTCCCAGGATTCCCTGTTTCTAGCCCTGAGCACAGTTTCTCTATCTGTATTTGCACCAGACGGTTACACCAGGAGGTCTGAGACAATGGTCATATTATCCACAGGGTCTGGCACAAAGTATATCCTCAAAATAATATTTATTCAACTGAAAAGTATGTTAATCAGGAGACCAGAATAATGACTTGGGATACTTTAATTTCAAAACTAGAGGAACTTCTCAGTGGTAGGATTAAGAAAAAATATCTAATGGAAATGGAAATTATGTTTCTAGAGGACAATTTGGCCCCACATATATATGTAACAAAATGCGAACTGTGCATATCCTTTGACTCAGTGCTCCCATTGCTGAGAGAATCACACACTTACCACATTATTTTTCATACCAGTTAAGAAAATCTAAGTATCCTAATATATAAAGAGCCAGTGTCTGTAACATCTAAAATGACCGAATGGACGACTGAATGCTAGGCTGCGCATGCAGCAGCCTCGTGGAGGGTGGGGGGGGAGGACTGGCGAGCGGGCTGAACTGCTGACCTCTCTGTCCTTCCTGGGTCTCGGGTACCATAGTGACCCAGCACTGACTACTGCCGCCAAGGTGGGTGCGATGCGATTGGTTGGGGGGCCCCACCATCACCCCACAATTGCCCCACAGAGGGAGGCCCAGACCACCGGCAAGGGGGCTCTGCAATCGCCCCAAAGGAGGCGGCCCAGGCTACCTGATCGGCAGCAGTGAGCCAGGCCTCCTCCTGCGGGGTGATCAATTATAGGGCTCCCAGGCTGCAAGAGGGGCAGGCCAGGCTGAAGGTTACCCCCAATCCCTCCCCTCTAAGTGGACGAATTTCATGCACTGGGCCTCTAGTTCATCAATAAAAGATAGGTTAAACAAACTTTGGTATCACCATTTGCTGGAATATTATGCAATTATTAAAATAATGACTGTGAAAAGACATTAAAAATGTATATAGAATGAAAAAACAGATTCTGAAAGAGCATATATAATGTAATCATTATTATTATTATTACTTTAAATCTGCATCCAAGGATGTTTGTATTGATTTGAGAGAGAGAGATAGGAAGGTAGATGGAGAGAGAGAGAGAAACATCAATGTGTGAGAGAAACATTGATAGCCTCCCATAGGTACATACCCTAATGAGGGAATCGAACCAGCAGCCTGGGTATGTGCCTTGACTGGGAATTGAACCCTTAACCGTTTAATGCACAGAATGACACCTCAACCAACTGAGCCATAAAGGCCAGGGCTATAATTTATTGTTATTATATACATAAGTTTATATATGAAATATGCTTACAGAAACATCTAAAAAGATAGTAACAAAAATGATGGCAGAGTTATTTCTGGATCTGTGATTTCCAGTAATTTTTGCGAACTTCTTTGTATTGTTTAGATGTTTTACAATGTACAGGCACCATTTTCATTAAAAACAGGAGATTCCTTTCCGAGACGTCTGATAATGATGCAAGGTGAGAAAGAAGAGAGAAGAGAGGAAGGAGAACAGACGTACCTAAGCACACACAGTGGCCAGAAATGGGTCGACAGGGTTCTGGTGCCTACCTGGGGGGTGGACGAGAAGACTCTGGACTGGGTTCTTCTGACCCCTGCGTCTCAGAATGTTGCTGAGAAAAGGGAGGAGGAGGAGGCTGGTGCTTCTGCTCATCTGAAGCCCTTAGCTGCAGAGCTGAAGCATGGAAAGCACGTGGTGCCAGGGTGGCCTGGCAGCGGGACACTGAACAGAAACGGGACTGGTCAGTCAGGGACGCTTACCAGAGAAGACCCTTTGAGAGCTACGGTGGTACAAGGGATGGGGGAGGGAAAGAGGGCAAAGTCCCCTCCAGAACCACTTATCCAAGTGTTGGGTCTCAGGCAAAATTCAGGGTCAACTGGTAACCTTCAGACATGATGTGGAGACAAACGTCTGAGCCAGAAGACAGAAGACCTGCTTCTAGGCCTGTTTCCATCATGTGCTAACTGTGTGGTAACGGGCAAGCCACTTCACCCCCGTGAGCGTGACTTTAAAGTAGGCAAATTCAGAGTAATGATCTCTACTACTTGCTCCATGGGAGCGGGCTGAAACATGAAGTGACAGTGACTTAAAAATATTTCATGTTTATATATCATGGTAGAGCGCTGGACTAGAAATGAGAAGGTCTGAGTACTGACCCCCCAGTGTTTATATGATGCCTCAAATTGCTTTCTCATCTGCAATATTGCAACACCCCCGTCATTCGCATTAGGAAAGGGCTTTTGGAAAAGTACCACCTCATACTTTTTTCTTTCCCAACATTGTATTATAAAAAATTACAAGCATACTGACAAGTTGAAAGAACTGTGGCATGAATGCCCAATATCCACCATCCAGATACTCTATATGTAAGCCATCACAGTCTTTGTTAGCCCATCTTGTATTTCCACACATTTGTTGCAGACCTCAGGATCCTTCGTCTCTAAACATTTCACCATGCCTCTATAAACTAGTTTAATATTTATTTTGTTCCTTTATGGAACTACTTATAGACAATGAAATGCAAGTCTTAAACATGCCAATTCTGAGTTTTGACAAATGCACACTCACATACCCTGAACCCCTATTTAGAGATTATCGCCTCCCCAGAAGTTCGCTTATGTTCCTTCCCAGTCATTCCCTATCCACCCACAGTTCTGAATTTCTCAGTCTAATTTGCCTGTCCTAGAATTTCATCCAAATACAATCATACAGCATGTCATTTTAATGTAGGACTTCTTTTGTTTAATATATTTTTTAGACTGAGCTATGTTTTTGTGTGTGTGTGTGTAAACCAATAGGTTGCTTTATGCTGCTGAGTAGTATTCCATGAAAATACACTTCTGTGGATGGACATGTGGGCTGTTTCAGTGTTGGCTATTATCAGTCAAGTTGCTACGAACATACTGGTACAAACCTTGCTGTGGACCTACGCTTTCGTTCCTTCTGGTATTTGTAAATATTTGGGAGTGGATTTGTTGGGTCACGGGCATTACTTTCACTAATTGTATTTAGTTTGGAGTTTTGTATAAAAACAAAACAAACAAAAAAAGGGAATCATTAAAAAAAAATCTATGAGCCCACTCAGGGAATAATGATTTAAAAAACACAGCACCATATGTGTGAACACACCAGTATTTTAGTGTATGTATAGAAAAAAAAAATGGAGCGGATATTCATAATACTTTGAAAAGGACACAGGAGGTCCCGAAGAATCTCCGAGGAGCCACTGTGATTTAGGGAGATTTTAGGGGAAATGCAGGAGAATGTTGATTATCTTACCAGCGATCTATTTTTGTTCGTGCGTCACATACATGAACACTAGGTATGGGGACACTGGTTTTCCCTTTGGGCCAATGATACAAAGTTTCCTTTTTTTAAGGAAACGTTAAGAACTTGGATGCATAAAGGAAAATACTGATCCCATCGTGGCAAAGGTGGCACAAGGGCATCCCAGAACTATGGACGAGGTGGGCGATGACGGCCAGGGCACGGCGGGCAAGGGGCTCTCCCTGGTTGTCTCCACCGGCGTCCCTCCGGGGTTCCCGGCCCTGATCCTTCGGAGAGCCGGGCAACCCACGAGCTGTGTGACCTTGGGCGCCCACAGCCCTCTCTGGGGCTTCGTCAAGTCCATTAAACGGGAGCGAGAGGCCCTGCTCCGCGGCTCTGGGCCCTCACATCTGTTGACCCGGGGGCCGGAGCCAGCCAGACGCGGCCCGTTCCATCCCGGGACGCCGGCGGCCCCGCGCCCGTGCCCTTCACGTCACCTTGCTCGCGAGCCGCCGCCACGGCCTCTTCCGCCCCGCGCCCAGCCCAGGTCCGCCTCACGCCCCGTCCCCGCTGCCCCCCGCCTCCCCTCCGCTCCCCGGCTCGGCCGCCCCCTCACCGGGCAGGCACCGCAGCTGCAGGAGCCTCCAGCCCGCTCGGCCGAACGCGCTGGATACCGCCGCCATCTTGGAAGCGGGCACGTCCCTCCGACGCCGGCGCAGCCACTTCCGCCCTCACGCCCCGCGGGAGCCTCCGCCTCTCGCGAGAAGCGCGTGCGCGGAGCCGGCGACTCGCGGAGGAGCGGGGAGGGCGTCCTGGGTACCAGGTAAGCGCTGTGGTCCGGCCGCTCCGAGAACACGACCTCCCCTCACCGTCCCCTCCCTGTCCATCCTCGCCCCCAGACCCTCCCATGTCCTAGTCCCCGTCGTGTCCCTTGGAGGGAACTAGCCTTGGTCCGTGATCGCCTCCCTGAGGACCATGGCGGGCTTTTGCCCTGAGAAGCGGGCGTGAGGGGCCCGACCGAGTTTGGCTGCCGCGGGCTCCTGGCGCTGTGGCTCTTGTCCTTCCTGGACTGCCTGCCTCGGGCCGAGGCCCCAGGGTCGGGGCGATCGGGAGGGAGAGCCCGGGCTGGGGTCCGGGAGACCTGGGTCTGAGACCCACTTCTGCCCGAAGCCAGCTGTTTGTGACCTTGGGCCTCCGTGTTTTGTTGTTTTTTTGGCCCCGTTCCTTCTCAAACCGAAGACGTTTCGGTCTTTGGGGGGAAACCCGAGGGTGTAATGTTGAGCCAGTGACTTTCCTGAACCTCTAAGGATGTCGAGTTGGTTCTAATCAGATATTTCCCAAACTTGCCGGATGGGAAGAACCACATAGGATGCTCGCGGGTAAGTCGGGTGCCCAGGTCTCTCTCCTGGACATCCGGGACATGTGGGTCCAGTTTTACCGAAGGCCCCAGGTGACTTGTAGGATCTGCAGATTTGGGAAAAGGCTGGTCGCACTCATTCAGAGTGCCGAGCCCTGGGTGACCCTGGGAGGTCATGGACCGGCCTCAAACAACTGTCCTTGTCAGAGGAGGGATTTCTGTTGTCAGAGAAGGCTTCATGTTAGTGGGATGCCGGGTGAAGGCGGAGGGATGACAGGTTTGTGTTTGCGGTTAGACTCTTCCTTGTCTTGGTATCTGCTTTGCCTTACCAACCCGAGTCTTTTCTAATCACTTGGGTGTCCCCTGCATGAGCGCAGGCGAAGCCCTCCTAAGCCAAAACTCCCCCGATGTAAACCTTTCACACCCATATCTCAAGTTCCGTAAAGCACTGCTCTGTGGTGGTGGGTTTTTTTTTTTTCCCCAAGTTCTGTCCATTTCTCTTCAAATGAGCTTCTTCTGTGTGTGAACGTAAGAAACAATCAAACCTGTGAAGAATTTGTGTGAGTTCATTTGAGCCAAACCATTGACAGTTGCCCGGAAGCAGGCTCTCAATGGATTGAAGATAATCAAGGTTTCCCAGCTGGTTTTATACATGACAGTCAAAGGAGGAGTCCTCAGTGGGTTACACGAAACCCATCGGTGATAGATTAGGGAGGTGGCGGGAGGAAGCACAGCCCGGAAACCTCTGGAATTGGATAAAAAGTAAAGTGATAGACACATTTTTACTTCCGATGGCTAACAGTCTACAACTAGCATGATGACAACGATAACAAGGGGATTTGTGGTCTCTGTGCTTTGAGGGTCTGGAAAAAGGGAAATCACTTTGTTTTTTGCCAAGACATGTTGTTCTAGATACAGACTGGCTTAGTTAAGGCGAAGGTTAACCTTTGCTAGGGAAAAATGCTGCCTTAGCACATGACTACCCACAGTAAACTGCTTTTAGTTTTAAAAAGTTTTCACCTCAGACCATCCTCTGTGGTTACTTTAGGTCTCCGAATTTGCAAGGCCACCTCGCGGGCGTCCCCTAAGCTTGTCCAGGTCTAGTGTGTGGCCCCTTTTCGTCCACATGTGGATATTCTAGGGCTTATAACCCTTAACTCTTGACACACACCTAATTTCCTGGTGTCTATCTTCCATTTCATTTTCCTTTGAGTTTCCTGTTTCCTTGCTGATTATCCTCTTTTTTTTTTTTTTTTTTTTTTTTTTTTTTTTTTTTTGTTCTGTGTGTATTTATGAGCATTGGTCAGTTCATTTTAATTAAAATTTTCTGGTGACTCTCAGGATTCCCAGGTAGTTTTTGTTGTTGTTTTTGTTGTAATCTTCACCAGAGGATACTTTTCCATTGATTTTTTTTTAGAGTGGAAGAGAGAGAGAGAAAGAGAAACATCGATGTGAGAAAGACACATTGATTGTTTGCTTCCCCCAGGCTCCCTGACCAGGGCTGAGGATTGAACCTGCAACCCAGGTAGGTGCCCTTGACCGAAATCCCAAGGGCCCTGGGACCCTTCAGTCCTCTATCCACTGAACCATACTGGCTAAGGTTTTTCTTCTTTTTTTAAAATATTGTTTTTATTGATTTCTGACCGAGTGAGAGAGAGAAACATTAGTGATGAGAGAGAATCATTGATCCTGCATGCCCCTCACTGGGGATTGAGCCCACAATCCCGGCAGGTGACCTCCGGGTTCATAGGTCAACGCTCAGTTCATAGGTCAACGCTCCCAAGAGGTGAAGAATTTTCAGGTTTTTTTAATGCACCTGATTTAAAAGGATTTCATTTTCGGTTTGAACTGATACCCAAACATCAATCTTACTTTTTTCTATTGGCCCCGTTCCTCCTTAAGAGAAGACAAATGCCTCAAGATTTTATGTTAACTTGGTACCTTAAAAATAAGCACGTTTGCCGAAGCCAGTTTGGCTCAGTGGATAGAGCATCGGCCTGCAGACTGAAAGGTCCCAGATTCAATTCTGGTCAAGGGCACATCCCTAGGAGGGGGTGTGCAGGAGGCAGCTGATTGATGTTTCTCTCTCATCGATGTTTCCAGCTCTCTCCCTCTCCCTTCCTCTCTGTAAAAAAAAAAAAAAAAATCAATAAGATATATTGTAAAAAAAAATAAGCAAGTGTATCTCCAGAAGTTATTCTGAGACCTCTGCTGTCACTGCCACGGGCATGCGTGTGCAGCAGTTGGAGTGGCAGAGGAGGTTAACAAAGACAGCCAGGGCTGTGCCAGTGACTTTGCCTCTAACGGGACAGGTTGAGCCTGCGGTTTACCAACCACGGCTCTAGGATAAACTCCTTTAGGAAGTGAGCAACAAAATCAGAGTGCTGGAGCGCTGAAGGATGACTGGCTAACCTGGGCTTGTTTTGGAAGCAGAGGAACAAATCATTTGAAGTCAACATTTTTATTTTTATTTATTTTATTTTTTTTAAATATATTTTATTAATTTTTTTACAGAGAGGAAGGGAGAGGGAGAGAGCTAGAAACATCGGTGAGAGAGAAACATCAATCAGCTGCCTCCTGCACATCCCCCACTGGGGATGTGCCCGCAACCAAGGTATGTGCCCTTGACCGGAATCGAACCTGGGACCCTTGTGTCTGCAGGCTGACGCTCTGTCCACTGAGCCAAACCAGTTAGGGCTGAAGTCAACATTTTTAAAGAAGGAAGAACGTATGGGCATGGCTTAAATTCCGTCCCAGAGTGCCCATGGTGGTGTAATTGTCACTTAGCCACCTCTGCAGAAGACAGTGATTCAGCATCAAACATTCACCCTGATGACCCCACCACAGCTTCTGTCCTGATGTCATTTACTGGAGCTATTTTACGTCGGAAACTTTGTGGCATTAATATTGATGGAAGAAAGAAAGGAGGAACTGAGCAGAGTGCTATCTCCTGACCCGATTTCATTCTATACTTGCCTGAGTATCAAGTGGGAGAGAAAGCTGACCCACACGGGGAAATTTCCATAGGATGGAAGCCCTGGCTTTACGGTCAGACAGACTTGGATTCAAACCCCAGCTCTTACTTCATCCACACAACACTTACTGGTTGTGTGACCTGGGCAAAGTCAGTGGCCTCAGTTCCCTGGCTGTAAAATGGGAATAATTCATAGGTTAAGGTGGTTCTGAGATTCAGTTGAGATAATGTATGTAAACTGTTTTTAAACACTCGGGCTAATACTAAATATTAAAGGCATAGTAGATACTATTGATCACTGATACATTGATCATATTTTGCTGAAAGGGAAAATACTCAGTTTGCAAAACTTAATAACTTGTCTATTATTTTATTTATTTATTTATTTTTTATTGTTAGGGGAGGGAGAAGAAGGGAGGGAAGGGGAGGAGGAGAGGGGAAAAGGGAGAGGAGGGAGGAGGAGAAGGAGCAATAACTTGTCTCTTTAAAAACACACACACATTAAGCTTGTGGTTGGGTTGTCTGCCAATTTATTTGCCTTTCTTGCTGAGTCATACTTCTGCCTAATTAGTGTCCCGCCTGTTATATATTCTGGTCAAGCTGAGCTGTTTCATATCAGAGAGGAAATAACTTTCTGCCTTCAAGCTCCTTCCTTGACTGCCAAGTCAGGGTGCTTCGAGGAAGCCACCTGCTTTTGGGTACGTGGGGTTATGAAACCTTGGTATAATGGGCTCGTTCATTTATTCCCACTCATATTGACAGGAAGATGTTCTAATTGGTCCGCATTCCTGGTCAGAATTAGGTTGTGATTCTAATCATACTCGATGGTGCCTCGTGGGTGAAATTGTGCTTTCGTCTCCCCTAAGTCCTGATTCTCCCTCTTCCGGTGGTTTTTGTGCAGCGCAGCAGGGATGGCAGACTTCGGGGTCTCGGCTGGCCAGTGTGTGGCGGTGGTCTGGGATAAGCCCTCCCCGCCGGAGGCTCTGAAAGACCTGGTGGGAAAGCTCCAGGCGTCGACCGGCAGTGAGGGCCACGTGTCCGTGGAAAACATCCACCAGCTGTTGCAGTGTAAGTGCCGACCCGGGTTGTCCACAGGGTCAGGGAGGGAGGGGGGAACTTCCACGGGAGGCGCTGCATTTCTGATAAGATAACGGAGTGTTTGTTTTGGGTGGCACCTGAGGGCAGCGGCCTGTGGACTCAGGAGTGTGGTTGATTTGTATCAGCATATTTTTGATTCTTTATTAGCTAAGCCACTTCCTCCCCCTCCCCCCCCCCTTTTTTTTTTTTAATATGTTTTATTGATTTTCTACAGAGAGGAAGAGAGAGGGATAGAGAGCTAGAAACATCGATGACAGAAACATCGATCACCTGCCTCCTGCACACCCACACTGGGGGATGTGCCCGCAACCAATGTACGTGCCCTTGACCAGAATCGAACCCGGGACCTTTCAGTCCGCAGACCGATGTTCTATCCACTGAGCCAAACCGGTTTCGGCCTCCTTTTTTTTTTAAAGCCTACTCTTCAGCTTCCTCTTTGACTTCTTCCCATGAGCGTATCTAAGGATATGAAAGCCTGGGGGAGAGCAGGGCAGCATGTCCTTACTAGTAACGGTGGTCTAATCGCATTTGCTGAACGGGTGGGTGTGCATTCTACAGGCCTGGGCGTAGCCTTGGGGACTCGGAGGGCTCGGGAGATGGCTTCCGGGGTCCAGGGGATTCTGACAACAGTCTTCCTCCTTTTCAGCCGCGCACAAAGAATCTAGCTTCGACGTGATTCTAGCGGGTGCAATTCCTGGAAGCTGCACTCTGCACAGCGCTGAGGCTCTGGCCGAGATGGCCCGGATCCTCCGGCCTGGGGGACGCCTTTTTCTGAAGGAGCCAGTAGAGACGGCTGTGGGTAAGGAAACCTTCATCTGAAAAGTCGCATCTGTACCTGTGCTGGCTGCGTCTCTCTGAGCAGGAGATACCACTGGGATATCGGTATTCTTACAGCCGACCTTATCGTTAGAGATACATTATTGTAAAAATCCGGAGCAACACGTCTGAAGAAATGTGTGATCTCTGACCCATTGGGTAGTAACATACAAGGAAACTGCCTATCTGAACATGGCTGGGCCCTTCAACAGGTGAACGAACGGTTAACCTGTGCCATGTCTTTACCATGGAAAACCACGCGGCAGTAAAAAGAAACACCTTGGATGAATCCCAAGGGAATCACGCTGAGGGAAAAAGCCAGTCTCAAAAGGTCACATGCTGTCTGATTTCGCTCAGACAACATTCCTGAAACACAGAGTTACGGGTGATGGAGAACCAATGGGTGACTGCCTGGGAGGTGGGGTGGGAGGCGGTAGAGGGCTAGCACAGGAGCTCCTATGATCAGAGAACGTTCTATATCTTGATTATGGTCATTGATTACCTTAAGCTACACGTGTGCTAAGATTGCCTAGAACCACACACACATACGCACACGCACGTGCATGTAAATCTGGTGAGATTTGGATAATTTTGTGAATTATCAAGGTCGGCTTCCTGGTCTTCATATTGTATTAGAATTGTGTAAGATGTTATCGTGGGGGAAGTGAGGTTGAAGGGTCCTTGAGACATCCCTGAGCTTTTTAAACATCCTGTGCATCCATCGTTAGAGTTGCAATATAGTGACTGGAAATGTGGGAGCGATGAGGTAATTATGGATTCCTGGGAAACTATGATGGAACTCAGGAAATAAAAACCTCTCTTTTTTTGTCCAACTGATAAAGTGTCAACGAGTTATTCAATTCTGAATTGTAGCATTTTTTAACCAGACTTTTCCATCACAGTGTGATGACTTATTTCACCAATAGAAAAGAAAATATTTTGAAGTGTATGAAGATGTTTATGTGGAGATATAAAAACGTTGCTGGGAATGTAGACCTTGGGTGTCTTTTGCCAGAAGTATAAAAAGAGAACACGGTACTTGTCACGTTAGAGTTTCTAAGCCTCTTTCTAATCAGTATCTAACAATCCTGAAAGGCTTGGTATTTCTAAGAAGCAGAGAGCTATAAGAAACAGTAATGGGATTACTGTCTAAAACTTAAGAGTACTGGTAAGAGAATTTTGAATAACCAAGTCAAATTAAAATACCACCAAAATGTATATACATTAAGCAGAAACGGTTATTATTGTTTTAATGCCCAATGACCCAAACAGGATAGAGCCTTTCTTATTTTTCCTGCTTTGACCTATAAAGCTGTTGATTGGGGTTTTCCTCTTGGCAGTTAAGGACAGCAAAGTGAAGACGGCACCTAAGCTGTGTTCGGCCCTGACTCTGTCTGGTCTTGTGGAAGTGAAAGAGGTATGTTGGTAGACAGCCTTCTTTGCTGGGAACTTAACCCTGGGTCACTAACCTAGTGCATATATCTTCATAGACAATACAGAGAGAACCGGGGAGAAACCAACCCTGCAGGGGAGACTAGGAAATAAGTTGAGAAGTGCTTTGCATGTGAGATACAAGGAAAGAACCTCTGGGATAGTCTACCCTGAAGAGGCTCAGCGGGGGCCCAGGTGGTGGGGACATATTCTGGTCTCGGTGTGGTTAGTGGTGTTGACCACTGAGCAGGCAGAGCGGAGCGCAGGTCTCTTAGGGGACGCCAGTCCTAGGCCCCAGGGCAGGGCAGTACCGAGACCATCCTCGGATATTTGGTGGGCGGCTGGTGTAGGTTGGAGGGGAAATCCCGTTTTTGATAGTCCAGTAGAAATATTTTAATTAAATAGAGGTGTTTAATATCCGTTAAAATTTTCTTATGTGTGAGGTAAGAATAATATAGTGAGAGCCATTATACCACTGATTTGCTACATGACTGAAGACCTTAATTTATTCATGCCCACTCTTTATTTTTCTTTTTAGTTTAAGGTTTTTTGTTTTTTATTCTAAAATAAGGAATGCTCACAAAAATTCAGTTAATGCTGAAGAATATTGAATTTGAAGTGATGACATCCCAGTCCCTGCTCACACTTCTCTCCCTAGGGGAAACTATTTTTTATGTATTTGCAGCTACACACACAGACACATCATTATTTAATGTCAGTAAGGTCATATGTATACATTGTTAGGTCACTAGCATTTTGGACATTTACCCATCTCAGTATATCATCCCCTGTTGGTATTCATGATGTAACAGTAGTCAGTTGCTACAGGTGGGCTGTGATTCATTTAACCATTCTATAATTGTTAGACACAAGGCTGTTATTGTTTTAATGACTAAGCACCCCCACCCATTTTTTCACCTTTACTGTCTGCTGCTACTTCCCAAGGCACATAGAAAGCATTTCCCTGCCACTGTGGTTCTTTTCCTCTCAGGATCTAAATTTCATGTCTATGGTGGGCCTGCTTCCCCGCTACAGGCTTAGATCCTATTCAACAGGCCATGTCTGACTCATCTTCACAATCATCACCCAGCCCTCACAATGAATCACACAGTGCCTAATGCCTGATAGACAGATATTTGATAATGCTTTAAAACTTTCCAAAGTTTTAAAACAAAGTAAAATAGGCTCCAAGTAAAAACGTAGACAAAAGTTACACTCGAGGGTTATGATCAGTGAGAAACTGATGTGAGCATGAAGTGATGTCTGTTACTTCCGCTGTTATCCTGTGTACTACTTAAAACAGCGGTCACCAACCCTGAGGTCCAAAAGGTTGGCGACCGCTGACTTAAAACACAGAAATTAGGATTTGATACTCATATACTGGTAGGCGGGCTTAGATCATCATTTTGTAGGAGTGTGGCCTGATCCTTTTGATGTCTTGAATTCCAGCTGCATCGAGAGTCCTTGAGCCCTGAGGAGTTACGGTCTGTCCAAGAACATCTGGGCTACCACAGTGACAGTTTGGTCTCTGTGCAAATCACAGGCAAAAAACCTAACTTTGAAGTGGGTTCTTCTAGTCAACTTAAGCTTTCTGCTGCCAAGAAGTCTGCTCCTACAGGTAAGACTGGACGTTCTTGTCGGAATAGGCCTGAAGGACACATTAGAAATGGAGCCAGAGATCTGAATGGCGTGATAGGTTTTTAGAGGATTAGTCCTTCCTTAATTTCTGTCATTTCTGGAATCCTCTAAAAATGGAAGATTGCTTAGTGACTAGTGTCCTAGGCATTTTCAGATCGCAATAGAACTGATGCATAGAAAATATTAGTTTAACTCTTCTGAACTGGAGGACACTGAGGCCTCCAGATTTTATTATGTTGTTTTCTTATTAATTTCAGAGAGAGGAAGAGAGAGATAGAAATACCAATGATGAGAGAGAATCATCAATCAACTGCCTCCTGCACTCCCATTACTGGGGATTGAGCCCACAACCTGGGCATGTCCCCTGACTGGGAATCAAACCATGACTACCTGGTTCATAGGTTGCTGCTCAACACTGGACCACACCAGTTGGGCGAGGCCTCCCCCCGGATTTTAGAGGCCTGAGTCACAGAGCTTAGTTAGTGAAGTCTTTCCAGGTGCCAGAATTTTGAGATTTATCCTCAGAAGACCTCATGGTGGTGTCATGATAGTTAGGAGTGCTGTGAGCCTCTTCCCGTATGTCCTCTGCTTTTGTGCCAATAATGTTAGCTTTTCTTCCTTTGAGAGTCCTAAGACACTTGTAAAAACATTTCTTCTGCTCAGAAAATTACTCTCCCCACCCTACTTTGCATTTCCTGTCGCTGTTCTTTAATGCCCAGGTTGAGAAAATTGTCCCAGCTCTGAAGTGTGCAAAGGTGTAGAGGTCCAGTCGCACTGCTCTGTTTTGACTGCCCAGCTTACACCTTCAAGAAACCCTTGGAAATTCTAACCTTTGGGTTCATAGTCCAGAGGGGTGGGAACAGCTTAGTAGATAGCAGCAGTTTGCCCTGTGGAAGGTCCAAGCATGCAGTTGTGGCAGTGATCACTAGGGGGTGCTCTTACTCCAGGCCCATTTGAGAACAGGCCTCAGACTGAATTGGGATCTCAGCCCTTTTCTGGCCCTTCCTTGGGCTCTCCTGTCCTGTAGTGAACTCAGGAAGTGTGAGGTATCTTAAATCACCTACTGTAGCTGTACAGAGTATTATACCATTAACCCGTGTTCTGAGGATGGAAACTAAGATAAAGAGGAGAAAGCAATGGGGAGTGGAAGTAAAAGCATTAGACACAATCATACTTGTGGCTTTGTGTAACTGGCCTATGTGTCCAAACCTGCTTTCTATCTATCTATACAGTTAGGATGACAGATGCTTACCTCCTAAGGTCATTAGCAGGATTAAATGAGATGATGTATGCGAAATGCGTCATACAATGTCAGGTACAGAGCAAGTATTTTAAAAAGGATGGCTACTGTGACTATCACGGTGATCGGCCAAGGTCCTGCCTTTTGTAAGTAGTAGAGCTGGGCCTTGAACCCGTGTCTTTTGACTCTCAGTCCAGTATGTTCTCTGCACAGTCTCAATAGGAAGCGCTTAGGTTTGCTTGTATTATAGTTTGCCTAAGGCTTCTTGGTAGAGCTCTTTTTGTCTCTCTTATTGGTTGGACTCAGTGAAGCCTGCTGTGGACCCGGCAGCTGCCAAACTCTGGACCCTGTCGGCCAATGACATGGAGGATGAGAGCATGGTGAGTGGGCACCTGGGCACTGGTGGCTTTCCTTTAGGCCCCCATTGGCGATGAGTGTTTCCGGTTTGGAGTGGCCTCTCCGGACTCGTGGGCTGGAAGGTATGGAAAGCCCAGCACCGAGGCTGTGCTTGACACCAGCATTTCTGCAGTAGAGGGAACCTCCCCACTGGTGGCCTTTGCATTTCTTTTCGGCATCTTTTCCCCACAGATTTTCCCGTTCTTTCTTCAGCTGATACATTGGAGACTCGTGGGCATGTGCAAACCTGAAAAGTGTTGTCAGCTGAAATGTTTGTTTTTTGGTTTTTTAAATATATTTTATTGAATTTTTACAGAGAGGAAGGGAGACGGCTAGAGAGCTAGAAACGTCGATGAGAGAGAAACATCGACCAGCTGCCTCCTGCACACCCCCCCACTGCGAATGCTCCCACAACCAATGTACATGCCCTTGACTGGAATCGAACCTGGGACCCTTCAGTCCGCAGACCAACGCTCTACCACTGAGCCAAACCGGTTTCGGCAGCTGAAATGTTTTTATTGGCTCTTTTGGGCAAGTCACTGGCACTCACTGTCTTCAAAGCAGTGCTTCTCCATCTTTGACCAGTGCTTTCTCATTTAATCTTCAATCACCTGCAATAGGTGTACAGAGTACCATTTGCCCATGTTCTGAGGATAGAGGTTGTTCACTTCTCCAACTACTCAAGTTAGAGTGACAAGCAACATAGGTTATGGTTTGTGCCCGCATAGAACTTCTAGGTTACCTGTCCACGTGTTTATCAAAGCATTACACAGCATATGTGTCATATAGGCCCTTTTCTCTGGAATTCCAGAGAAAATATTTTATTCCCCTTTTCACCTGACAGGCCTTCTTATACAGGGTGTCCCAGAAATGTATCCACACACACTGAATAATTATGAAGGCAGTGTTTATTGAAATACATTCCATTCTCATTTACCAGCTATCAGCTGTTCCCAGTGTAAATCGGCTCCAGTCCCCTCACAGCCTTGCGCACGTCACTTCACTGTGGTGCTCAGCTCGGACATGAGCATCCACCCAAAGGAGGATGGCGGGTGCCTGCCTACACAGGCGGTAACCCTGCTGCCTCCGACTGCGGCCACCTCTGCCTCTCCTTAGCAGACAGCGTGGCCGTGTCACTAACTGCCTCCAACACTCCCCAGGATCTCATCGACTCCGATGAGCTGCTGGATCCAGAGGATTTGAAGAAACCGGATCCAGCTTCCCTGCGGGCCCCTTCATGCGGAGAAGGGAAGAAGAGGAAGGCCTGTAAGAACTGGTGAGTGCTGCCCGCAGCAGGTGTCTCTGCAGTCAGTGCTCTGCTGTAATTCAAGCAAACCATAGTCTTCCTGCAGGTGCATTTTAAAGAATAGTAAAATGAACCAGAGACATTACTGGGACTTTAACAGCCACCTCTGCATGCTTATTTCAGAGGTGGAGGGGGAGGAAGAAAGGTAGAAACATCCATGATGAGAGAGAGTCATTGATCTGCACACCCCTACTGGGGATCGAGTCCACAACCCAGGCATGTGCCCTGACTGGGAATCATACTGGTTCATAGGTTGATGCTTAACCAGTTTTCACATGTAGGTGGATAGTTTACCTACATGTGACTCTCCAAACAATATATTACTTAGTTGTGAAGAACTGAAGAGTAAGCCCAGACTGAGCAGACAAGGAAGGATGGACATCCCATATCTATGCAGGCTCCCGGGGAAGGACCAAATGGGTAGAGTCCTCTGCTCTGGCTCCTTTGGGAACCTCGCAGAGTAGCTCCCGGGAAGTCAGTGGGAAGGTCTGAGGAGGAAAGTCTGCATACATTTGGAACTGCCAGGATTTGGGTTTCTGGATGGTGGCCAGTCTCACTCACCAGCTCCTGATTCCCCAGCACGTGTGGCCTTGCCGAAGAACTGGAAAAGGAGAATTCCCAGGCACAGACCAGCTCTCAACCCAAATCAGCTTGTGGAAACGTAAATATCATTGCTTAGTATTCCCCAAATCCTTGGTGGTATCGAGCGCCATCCTGAACTCCGCATAGACTAGCTCCCGCTGTAAGAAACTTCCTGCCCCATATTTAAGTCATCGGTGAATACGTGAGAACACGTATGTAGGTCTTCATGGGGAAGCAAGGTTATCACTTAAGAGAGGGAGGGTCAGCATGCTCATGCCCAGAAGGGGGGCTCTTGGTTCTTATTTTTGTTCCTTCTGACTTCCTGCTGGACCTGAGGTTATTCAGCCCTTTGGCTGAGCTTAGCTGGTACCTGAATGCTGAGAATACAGAAATATGGCCCAAGGAGCTTCTCTAGGTCTTTGTTCTCATAGGAGCAGAGATCTTACAACTCCTAGTGTCTGAGCCCCCAGGGGACCTCAGATGCACCCACCCCACCATTCCCTCCAGCCACTGTGGCCATAACATGAAATTAGGGTTCCGGTGTAGTCCTTGTTCCTGGAATAAGCTTCCCATAGGATGGGCTCTCCAATACATTACAATATGTCACTGTATCTATTATGTCCACAGTGCTACCTGGGCGACGCGTTCCGCTGCGCCAGCTGCCCCTACCTCGGCATGCCAGCCTTCAAGCCCGGCGAGCAGGTGCTCCTGAGCAACAGCAACCTCAACGATGCCTAGGAGGGACCCAAGGACACACCATTCCTCCGGCCACTCCTGCCCCGGACCCGTCTCTGCATCTGTTCACTCTCTCGGAAACCCATCTGCAGGGAGGGGGCTCAGGCAGAGTGAAGCTGGCTGTGGGGGGCGGGGGTGTGTAGTGCTGCTGTGGATCAAAAGACTGAGGTGCCCTGGGCCGGTCACCGGGGCGGGCCGGTTTCTTCGTAGGCTAGGGAACTGGGACGTCCTGGAGAGGTCCCCTCCCAGGGTCAGCGTGCTGATCATAACACTCCGCACCCAGACTCCCCGAGTATTAACTCTGACAGGGCCCTGCCCCTACTCTGGGGGCCGCCGCATGGCTCACTCAGCGTGCAGCTCCCAGTGACATGAGTCAAGCGATTCATCACCTCAGGGCACCCAGGGAGTCACTCAGGGGTTGCTGTGATCATAGTCCCTGTACCCAGCCACCCCCACCCGTGTTTTCCTGTGTTGCACCTGTGTTCTGTTCATCTGCAGTTCCTATTAAACTCGTGTACTTCCACGGAGCAGTTGTGAAGAGGGGATGTGTGAGTGTGTGTGTGTGTGTGTGTGTGTGTGTGTGTGTCTGACAGCCGTGCAAACTCAACTTGCACCACAGGACTTCTGTTTTGGAGACTTGGTGTCCCGCACGGTGGGACTGGGCCTTCTGGGGACCGGGCCGCTCTGTCTCCTTTAGAGGAAGAAGCGGGACAGAAAGCTGAACCCGCAGCTCACCTCTGAGCAGGAGACCCTTCTCATTACCGCCCCGCAGACTTGGCGTGCATCTTGCTGATAGTTGGGAGAGTGTGTGGGTCAGAGAGACCTGGGTTTTTCTATCTTACCACTAAATAAAAGTGTTCTTTGGAATGAGTGCTCAAAGCTTGCTTTTGCTTCTCGCCCCCCATGCCCGGTGGATGCCTGCCCTTGCGTTGAGCGGGGCCTGTAAGCATGGTGGGCCCTCACTGCTATGGCGGGGTTGCATTATGGGGCGGAAGTGAGGGGGTTTGCAGGCATGAGGTCCCTAAGGGACATCGGGGAAAGGGGGAGTATCCTGGGTGGGCCTGGCCTGAGTGCTGGTTCTGTAGAAGAACCGGAGAACAGGGTTTCTCTGGCCTCCAGTGCCATGATGTGAGGTCCCGGGCAAGGGACTGCAGGCAACCACTGGGAGTCGGGAGCAGACCATTGAGGGTCTTGCAAAGGTTCTGCATGAAAGGTTGAACAAGATGGGGGTGGGGCTGCAGGAACCCCCAGGCCAGGGAGCTCCCAGCTGGGAACGTCTGCAGAATTGAATCAGACACTTAGGGGAAGTGTGCTCAGCCCTTCCCTTAGCAAGAGGTCACGGGTGAGCACAGAGGCTGGTCTGGGAGGAGACTAGGGGACTTGGGGGGTCTAACGAGAGACCTGAGGGAACCCAGACAGCGCTTCCCAGAGCCCCTCCCTGCTCATGCACTGCAGAGGGGGGGTCTGCCGAGCCTCGTTTACACCCCCTGCTCTTCCCTCAGCCCCACCCCCGCCCAGGCCTCTCAACAGGGCCTCCCTCACTGAGTGGCCTGCAGCAGCCAGGTCCGCTGAGCCTCGGCTCCCTTTCCGACCCGGATGGGGCAGGACCAGATGTTCTCCGAGGGCCCAGCAATGTGGCCACCTGGGCAGACAGACACGCTGACACAGACTGAGGAGGAAAGACTTTAATGGGGGCCCTTTCATGCCTCAGTTCCAGTTGGGGAAAGGGTGGTCTGGGAAGGGACTTGAACGGCCTCCACTGGACGCAGGCAGCTGGGGGGTGGGGCAGCAAACACGGAGGCACCGGAAATCCACATGGTCCAGGGAGAAATCAGGACTTCCTGATGCTGGACTGACGTAGCTTCATGATTCTTTGTAAGTGTTTGATCACCCTCTTCACCGAGGCGTCCTTGGGGTTCGCACAGATGGACCTGCCCTGGACAGTTACAAACCTACAGAGGGAGAAGCCGGGGGGCGTCAGGGCAGAAGGCTCCACAGAGCCCAGCAGCCTCGTCCTGCACCTGCCAGACTTGCTGACATCACACGGGGTCAGTAAGAAATCTGGGGCATCAGGTTTTGCCTCCGTGACTCGGTGACTGGTCCCTTCCATAGAGCTGGGGAACCGGGGGGTGGGGTCCAATAAGAGGGGGGACCTCAGGCCTGGGCCTTGTGCCATTGCAGCGTGGGGTACAGGGGCAGGGCCTGGGTGACAGGGGACACAAAGGCCACATGCCCCTCTCTTCCTCCCAGTGGCCCTTCTGGGAGCTCCAGGTCCTCCCTCTCCCATGCTCAGCTCCCAGGATTGCGGTGGGGGGTGGGGGTGGGAAGCTTACACGAAGGCATCCCTGGTACACTCCTCCGAGGTCCGGTACCACCGCACCACCCTCCGCACGGGGATGGCCCCTTTGAAGTACTCGGCGCAGCACTCCCGGCCCACGTTGACCCCTCGAGCTACGGAGGAAAAAGTGGGAGCAGGTGTGAGGCCTGTGCTGTGGGCGGGGTGCCTGTGTGTGTGTGTGTGTGTGTGTGTGTGTGTGTCTGTCTGTGGAGAGGAGTCTGTGTGCATGTCCATGTGTGTGTGTGTGAGGGGTACAAGGGTGGGTCCGTGTTAGGGGTGGGGGTTGTGTGTCTGTGTGTTGATGGGTGTGTCGATGGGGCATCTGTGAGTATGTTTCTGTGTGGGGAGCATATAAAGGCTTGCACGTGTCTCTGTGTGTCACATGTGCACATTTGTGTGCCTAAGTTCTCTGTGTGGACTTTGGGAGCTCCTGTGTGCGTGTGTATGTATGTGCATGTATCTGTGTGTGCTTGGGAGGGTGTGTGTGTGTGTTTATATGTCTGTGTGTACCTGTGTGTGTTTGGGCGAGTGGTGCATGCTTGCTTATATGTGTGTCTGTGTATGCATCTGTGTGTGTGTGCACACTCATCGCCAGCTCTGAGCATGCATGGACTCTGCCAGGCTCTGAGCTGAGCCTTCCCAGCACAGCTCACACGGTCCCCAGCACACCTGAGACAGGTGCCTTCATCCCCCACTGGACAGGTGGGGCTCAGGTCCCTCATCTCTGCACAGTGACAAGTATCTGACACAGCACAGAGACAGCTGGAGACGTGTGGCTTAGTCACCAGCGTACCAGCATGTTTTCTAAGAAGCCCGACTGCCCTCAGCCATCCGGGGCTGTAAGCTGGCCTGACTCCCTCAGGGCCGAGGTGCTCAGCACTTGCCACAGGCACAGCGGCCACGAAGGTGACCCCTGACAAGATCACCTCCAAGGCTGAGGCTGCCCGTGGGCTGGGCAGGCCCCGCCAGCTTATGTCTGATTTCAGCCTTCCTCTCCCAGCTAAATGTAAAAATCTCTCTTTTCACTTCTTCTGGGAACCAATCCCCCTTTTTTTATCCAATCCCCTCGGGATAAGGAAGACCCATTCAGTAAACATATCCTGACAGATTCTTCTGAGAATTGCTCACTTTTCGCTGTGGAAACACAACCACAGCCACCGGCTCACAACCATGGGAGCCCCTCAGCCAATCCCCTCACCTCCTCCTCCTCCTCCTCATCGTCATCGTCATTTTTCTCTCCACGCCTCCCCCAAATCCCATTGCTGCTGACCTCTCACATCTTTGCAGGAATGAGTGAGCTGCAAATAGCGCACAGATGTGTGTGTGTGTGTGTGTGTGTGTGTGTGTGTGTCCGTCCCCCCACTCTCACCTGCGCGGGCGCCCTGCAGGGAAGGCCCCAGGAGGAGGACGAACAAGAGCAGCGTCTTCCACGGAGTCATGGCGCTGGAGCTCAGGAGAAGGTCTCTGCGTGTGGTCTCTCTGCTGGGGGAGCCGGGATGGGAGCCCGGGGTGGAGGTGACCTATTTAGCCTCCCTGGGACCTTGCCCCGCCCACCACCTCTTCCTCCCACCCTTCCCTAGACCAGTGGAGTTCGAAGAACTTGAGATGATTCTGAAGAAGTCCAGGCTTGGAATGTTTGTGGCTTTCCAGCGAAAAGGGGGCTCCAGAGGGGACAGAGGTGGGGTACTCATCCGGGGGCCAGGGCGACACACTTCTCCTTTTGCAAATGTATTTCTTGGTTCCTCTTAGGACGGAGGAGGCTTGGTCCTAGACTGAAATCATCCTGCTTCGAGCCTCCTCTGTGCACGGTGCCCTGGGAGGGGGACAGCCGGGCAGGGGCCGAGGGAGGCTGCTTCGCCTGGGACTGGAGGAGCTCGGGTGCAAAAAGGGCTGCTCTCCTGGGATGACCGGTCGGCTGCACGTGCACACGGGCAGCTCCCTGCAGGGAGGACCACAGCTCCATCTCGTTCTGAGAAAGGCCCGAGGCCCAGAAAACATTGGTCGTGGCTCCTTTCCCAAGTTCAAGTTCAGGGTCTTCCCCTGAGCCACAGAAGGCCAGGGTGTCTGGCGGTTTCTAACCAACCTTTAGCCCAGATTTGATGTGTCTTCCTGGGAAGGCACCTTCCTCCAAATGCAGCGTCTCACCTGAGCGAGGACCCCCCTGGCTCCCAGCAGAGTCACGTCTGCATGGGACCCCTGGTCAGGGTCCAGCCCTGGCCAGGCCCGGGACAGACTTCCCATGAACCCAACGGCCGCAGCATCGGTGCACCAAGTCAGCAGAGAACAGGGCCAATCGTCTGCTTAGGGTTCCCGGGCCAGATCATGAGGGCCCCTTAATCAGGTGACAGTCCCGCCTACCTCCAGGCGGCCAGCTCTGGACTTTGATTCTGACACTTGGGACCTAGGCCTGGCTCCACCCTGTCCCCGAGGGACTGGGAGCAGCTCAGAATGACACGCCCCAGGAATCACATTCCATTCCCAGAGATGATAATGGCAGGTGCGACCTGCAATCACATTCCATTCGCAGTGATGATAATGGCAGGTGCGTCTGTGAAACCCCATTCCACTGGGGCCAGGTGCTCAGCTGTGAGCCTGGGAGAGAGGAAACCGTGACTCCGGCTGGACCAGGTGCTCCTCTCACCCCAGGGCACCTTGGAGGCTGGGGCTGCTTCAGTTCCTGGGGCCAGGGTCTCGCTCCGTCCATGGCAGAGCCTCCTGTGGGCAGGATCCCCTCTCCCGGCCTCGGGCTCGGTCTCACTGCTCACAGACCCTCAGTTTCCCTGGGCCTCAGTTTCACCATCTGTCGAGGGGCATGTGGGCCGTCCCAGGGGCCCCGTCACAATGGTTGCATTTCTCTGCTTTTCTCACCCCCTGCCAGAGGCCCCTAACCTCACCCACTCCTCCAGGTTCTCTGGCCCCTGCCCGCCTGGCTGGGCCACCCCTCTGTCCCCCAGGCAGCTGTCCATTTGCACATGCAATGGAGGAGAGGGGAGCGGGTCCTGTCTGTGCTCCTGCTTGACACCAGCTTCCTGCACAGGAGCACCCGCTGTCCCCAGCCTGCTGAAGCCGAGGAGGCCTGGCTGGGAGGAGAGGGAAGGGGTGCTGGGGTCCTGGAGACCCCGGCTGGGGAGAGGGAAGCTCCGGGCTGGAGGCAGAGCTTTGGGCCCAGAGGAAACAGGAAGGCGCGGAGGTGCATGGGGAGGGTCTGAGGCGGAGGGGGTGTGTCTGCTGATGCCGCCTGTGGATAGAGCGGCACCTGATCTCTCTGTTCCCCGTGGCCTCTGCCCAGCAGTGTTTGCCCACCGTCTGTGGCTTCTCCACCTGCCACAGGGGTGCTTTGGGCACGGTGCCCTGTGCTGGACAAGAGGGGCTGTTGGGATGGAGCAGCAGTTTGTTTATGGCGAGGCCCCGGCCCCCGCAGTTGGGGAAACTCCCGAGTGGGCTGTGAGTCCCCCTGTTCTGCCAAAGACTCAGAACTTTTCTCTGGAAGGACCCAAATTCCCCTGTCCCTTCTGGGGAACGGGCCACGGCAGCAGGAACTGAAGTCTGCACTAGCCCTGGCCGGGGAGGGAGGAGGGGCAGAGTAGCAGGAGTGCCAGGGAGCACCTGCTGTATGTTTGGCTGGGCCAGGGCTGGGGGGAGGGGGTGGGGGCGGGCAGAGGTCAGGTGCAGCCCCTGCTCTTGGGGGCATTCGAAGCTGGTGAGGCTGCAGGAGCAAGGCCTGGTCCACATAGGGATGTGCAGGTGAGACAAAGGGCCGCGAGGCCCGGAGTGGGGAGAGGATGCTACTGGACACCTCGGAAGGCTGCCTGGAGGAGGAGGCCATTGAGCTGGGCATTGTGGGTGGGAGGATTTACACCAAGAGAAGGAGGGCCAGGCGTTCCTCACGGGCAAAGGGCTTAGCACAGGTGGAGAGGACAGAATGTGCAGAGGCAAACGAGGGAAACAGCACGAAAGGCTGGAGGGCGAAAGGCCCGGGGATGACCCCAGGAGAGCAGGCTTCGTGAGGACAGGGCGTGTCTCTCTGCCCACCACGCTGTGTGCCCGCTCCCAGCACGGGGCCTGGCATGCAGCGGGCTTTCCGTGAGGCTTGGCAGCGCGAACCCGGGACCGGAGGAGGAGGAGGAGGTGAGGCTGGAGAAACCGCGGAGGCCAGCACACCTCTCGGCCTCCCCCGGGAGGCCGCGGAGACCAGGGACATTTCCAGGTGATTTCCTCGCCAGGGAGTAACCGGCTTCGCCCACCCGCGGTGAAGCGGCTCCCAAGGGACCTTCCCGGTGGTGTCCCTGGAGCCTGGGCCTGTGATAAGGCCACTGTGTGGACTCTGGGACCCGGAGGTCTGGCGGGGAACCAGGCCTGCTCCCTGCAGGAGACCTCTGTGGAGGGGCCCCCGTGGGTGGGGGCCTCCTGGTGGAGGAAAGGAAGGGAGGGGCACAGGCAGGGAAACAAGCCAGACGCAGGCCTGTTAGGACAGCCAGAGGGGAATTGGGTCTGCGTGGGAGGAGGCGGCCATGGTGCTCCCTCTGACTGGTGGGAGTCCTCCCCCCCACCTCCCCACCCCGCTTCAGCCTGGTCTTTACCCTGAGACGGAGGGAGGGAGGGAGGGCTCCTGCCCCACCCCGGCTCTCCTGGCGCTGGGCTGGGACCAGGGAAGCTGCAGCCACAGCACCGAGAGCTTCGCCCCAGGCTGCAGAGCAGGGGACCGGTTCCTGGGGTTGCTGAGTTGGAAGCAACTTATCATCTTCAAAGTGCACACGACAGTGTCACTGCGAGGGCAAAAGTTGTCACCCGGGTCACTGCCGTGTCAACCGAGGCTCCAGGGGTGCAAGCACTTGCCCGGGTCTCAAGTAGCATAGGGTAAGGATCTATTCTTTTGTCTACTCGGCTCCATCCTCTCACAGCCAAAGCTAGACTCGTCCTGCCCTGTCCCAGGGAGCTGAGAGGCGAAGGCCTCGAATGCTTTTACCAACCCCCAGCCCCAAAACACGTCCCGCTCCCCCGTCCCAAGGGCCTGAGCTGCTCACTGATGAGTCCGTTGCTCTGACTCAAGGTCAGTCTGCTTGGTTCCTCAAGTCAGAACCTCAAGGGGCATCCCTCAACTCCCCCAGGTTCCATCAGCAAGACCTGCTGGGTCAGCCACTGGATGTGTCTCGAATCCATTTGCTTCTCACCATCCACGTGACCCCCTCCATCCCTCCCCTGATAGGACTCTCCACGCAGCCCCCGGCTTCCAGTCTGTCCTTCTCCTAATGCTCAGCGATCTTCCCAAACACAAATCCCTGCTCCAAGAATCCTTCCATGCCGCCCGTTGTTCTCAGGATGAAGTCCAGATTCCTACCAACTTCTCCAGCCTCAACTTTTGCCCCCAACACCCCATATCCCTTTGCTGTAGCCATGCCAGCCTTCTTTCGGTTCCTGAGAAATGCAAGGCTCTCAGTGACACCCAAGCCTTTGTACAGGCTGTTCCTCCTGTCTAGAACATTCTCTCACACCCCACTTCCTTCCGTTCCCACCCTCCTATGGATTGGAGCGTAAACCCTCACTTCCTCCCTTCAGCCCCCACTTTCCTCTGCAGGTCACAAACTTCCTTATCACGCTCTTCCCATTGCATTGTGATGGTTGGCTTATTGCTGCAAACTCCTTGAAAATAGGGTCTTCTTTATGTTCCAACTTGTACGTACTCAATAAAATATGTTTATTTAATGGATGCAAATAGGTGATTGAGTGAATAGATGGATGGAAGGGAGGAAGGATAGAAGGAAGGATGAATGGATGGATGGATGCATGATTGTATGCATGGATGAAAAAAGATGGATGGGCCGAAACCGGTTTGGCTCAATGGATAGAGCGTCGGCTTAGGGACTGAAAGTTCAATTCTGGTCAAGGGCATGTACCTTGGTTGCGGGCATATCCCCAGTAGGGGATGTGCAAGAGGCAGATGATTGATGATTCTCTCTCATCGATGTTTCTAACTCTATCTCTCTCCCTTCCTCTCTGTACAAAATCAATAAAATATATTTTTTTAAAAAAGATGGATGGGTGAATGGGTTTATAGATGATGGATGGAAGGAAAGATGGATGGATGAATGGATGAATGGGTGGATGGGTTGATGGAGGATGGATGGATGGTTGGATGAAAGGAAGAAAAGATGGATTGATGGATGGATGGATGGATGGGATGGATGGATGAAAGGAAGAAAAGATGGATGGATGGATGGATGGATGGATGGATGGATGGATGGATGGGATGGATGGATGGGATGGATGGATGAAAGGAAGAAAAGATGGATGGATGGATGGATGGATGGATGGATGGATGGATGGAAAGATGGATGGATGGATGGATGGATGGATGGATGGATGGATGGATGAAAAAAGATAGATGAATGAATGGGTTTATGGATGATGGACAGATGGATGAAAGGAAAGATGGATAGAT